AGGAACACTACATGAAGGAATCCTTTTTCAGTAGGAACATCACATGTATACATCCTTGTTTTGTAGGAACGCCTCATGTAGGCATCCTTGTTTTGTAGGAAAAAGCATGTAGGGATTCTTGTTTTGTAGGAAAATAACATGTAGGCATTCTTCTGTAGGAACGCCACATGTAGGCGTCCTTTTATAGGAACGCTACAAGTAGGTATCCTTCTTCTGTAGGAACACCACATGTAGGCATTCTTGTAAAAAGGAACGCTACAAGTAGGCATCTTTCTTCTGTAGGTACACCATATGTAGGCGTTATTCTTCTGTAGAAACACCACATGTAGGCATCCTTCTTCTGCAGGAACGCCACATACATGTAGGCATCCTTGTTTTGTATGAACAACACATGGTGGCATCGTCGCCCTATAGGTACACTACACATTGACACCAAACATATTTGAGAACAATCATAAACCGATTGATGTTTCAAACTGAACAACACGAATCAACATGTCTTTTCTTGCTTTCATATAAGTGCTGTATTTCTTTCTTGTATATGTTTTCACTCCTCCGAATGATGATTTGACGTTTCAATAGAAGTAATGGCAGATTTAGGATTTATAAAGAGCACAAGATGACTTTCCCTGGTTCGGACTCTCAGTTGAAATATACCAAGCCTCAAAAGGGTAGCAGGATGTTTCCCTAGAAAATCTATTTCGATAACCTTGAAGAAATTTCAGATCCCTCCTATAATTCATTCTGTTGCGATATATTAGATTTCTGTTTCAGATAAACGAATGTTATCAGTGTACGAGTACTCGAGACAATATCATCTGTGTGTTGGAAATTGAAATTTATGACAATGTGTGTACAAAGTACTCGTTTATTAGTTTCCGATTTATCCGAATTAATTAGTCTCTTAAACAAAAGTTATAATAACAGCGTTTATTGTATGACATACTGTGAATCGAGATAAAGGGTAAAAAATATACGTACTGTTTTCTACAAATATGTGAATACACTTTTGTTAAAGACCCAACTAAGTGTCAATCCATAACTATTATTAGTTACGTTTTGTCCTTATTCATACAATAGAGAATGACATTAAATTCTGTAACGTTCACATAAAGTTCACTTTGTTTCAAAGGTTATGTATCTGCTTATGATACACATTTCTTACTTATGTTGTCAAAAGGACAAAGGTCTAAAACTTTGTATTAAATGTGTAAAGGCTACAACAGTTATGTTGTGAATTATTATTTTGTCTCCCTGTAAGGATTCTTTAAAAAATGCATTACTCGTATGCGGGCTATGCCCCACGCTAAAGTACTAGAGACGAAGTGCATGTGTTATCGTGCAGACATGTTAGGCCTCTTTGTTCTTGTCGGGAGGTTTTTCTTACCAAACCTTCATTGACTTCAGGCCGAGGGGCGGTATTCTTACAATGAATAATTAATCAAATATGTCTTCAATGTGTTCATGGTACATTAACAATACCCCTCCCGGCAATGGTCTCTTCTATATTAGATTCTATCATTATTTGTTGCAATGAATACCCGCACACGAAGACCAGCCGACTCTTTTAGAAGGCAGCACAGTTCCAAGCCGGCTTGTTTCCTCAGGGAAGTGCATGCAAGGCTTGTCAAAACCCTTCTTGATCCGTTTGTATCTGTTCACCTTATAAATTGACTAAGTCACAATGTAATAATTTGCAAAAATTGTTAAGAAATGATATTCTGCAAATCAAATTTCGTGTTTGGATCTATATTATTTTCAACTTTTAGTAAATTCCGTGCAATTAAAATTGATTCAGATTCACATGAGAACTTGGCCCCGACTTCCAGCCATAACGGCGTTTTCAACATATATATTTCAATCAGGTTTTCTTTTTTAATATAGATTCCTAACTTTTTTTTAACTGTTCCAATATGAACTCAACTTTAACAAGATTCAACAAACTATACATTATACGATTTCAACAGATTGATTTCTTGTCAGATGTCTTTGTTCATAATCCATGTAGATTCAGCTGAAATAATTAATTACTCATTGGCTGAGTCTATAGTAAAGCAACTGCTTCAATTTCACGTGGTATTATGCTCAACTCGCTTCTTCCAAGGTTTAATGTTGGATGTCTATATTACTATCTACTTACTCAACCAGTTACTTCTGGGGCGGGGCTAAGTATAACATGTACAGCTGGTTTGCGTTTGTGAATTTGACACGTTTTATGCATACATTGTCAGAATATTTTCAGAGTAAACTTTCACGGTCAGAATTGCTAGCTATTGACAAGGCTTGTATACTTTTCAGGAATTTGAGTGCGCACTGACCCAATAGCCGTTGTAATAATAATGAAGCGCGTTGGGCTTTCATTGGTGAAATGAATGTTGCATTATTAACGGATGGTCACTGGGATTATGACGCTCGGCTAATGCATATACGTGAGTGGAAGGTATGTCTGCAGAAATACACCTGTGAGGGGTAACTCTGTCAGAACCACAGGTTACCATGGTGTGTCAGGTACACAAGAATAATTCAGACAATACGCCTCTGAAGCGGGGGCTAGCTATTGTATGTTTTCTTTATTTTCATAATAACAAGATACATGTTTATAGACCACGCATGTTTTGTTGTATCAGTTTGGTAATTATATGTAAATATGCCAACGTCAAAGTCACAACCCATGACAAAGCTACTAGACTCGATGGGGTAACATGGTGGTGGTGAAAGTGGTGGTTCGTCCAAGAACAGATGTTCAATTCTCTATTCACAGTGATCACAGACTTCCATTTTCACGCTAGTCCGCTGGCCTGAAGCTAGTCAACTATGCTGAGTACAAGTCAAAGTGTAACCATGGTGCTCCTCACTGACCGGTGGCATTTACTGGCAACCAATACCGAGCCACTGCTTCGATAATGGTACAGGTTTGTAAGTAAAACTGAAAGGATATAACACAGGGAGATATATTTTCTCTTTCCAGCAGGAATAGCTTCAGACTATGTAGACTAGTAAAACAGGCTTACACTAATAATTAATTTCTAGAACATGTGTCCTAATTACATATGACTGAACTTCACACTGTATCCTGCCCATCAACAAACAAAGCGAGTGTTATAGACAGACACACATGTTAAACCATGAGACTTGAGACAGTGTCAGCGATACGATCGCTAGTGAAGTGCGACCAGGTGCTACTGGATCACGGGCTCTTTTCCGTTATATTGCAGCTTCAAAATTAATATGCGAATGTGACTAAGGTAGTATTTCGTATTCTCGTACAACCGTATGCAACAGGAACTATTAGCTATGAGACATCAAGGTAGATTCAAGGAAACACACCCATGGTTTAACTAAACCAACCTGGACACGCTATTTTCATTATTGGAACCAGTATGGTTTCCCCCCTGAGCGTGCTTGGAGGGGGATTCAGCCTCAAACGTGTGCTGGTTGATGAGCTCGCTGACAGAAGGGAGATAACTCCAGCAATGCGTATTCTATTGGCGTGGATGGTAGTCGATCAATAACCGGCAGCTGAGAGGAACCTGTGTACAAACTGAGAATATACAGTGGGGCGATACACTGTACTGCAGCAGTGCAGGCACATGCTCATATACAGGGACACGGAAACTGATCCACAGCTTAAGGTGAAGGTCCTTTATAGTGTTGTTGTTAACCCAAGAAACTTATTGTTACACTGTCTGTCTGTCGGTCGATGGGGATACAACAAGCACTGATCTGATCGGAGTCAGTACACCGTGTGTTACTGTAGTGTCCACGTTACAGTGCGACATGGTATCTTAGCAGGCTAGGAAACCCACATCATGGACTAGTACAAGACACACGCACACACACACGTGCACGCACACACACAGGTGCACGGACGGCGCTTTATTAGTGTAATAATCGTGTTGGCCACATTAACCCCATTCCACATGAAGTCCAGGTTATTTCGTGTGTGTGTGTGTGTTTAAATACATGATTGTCTATTTCTATGCTTGTGACTATTAATGGGTGAGTGAGTGTAACTGGTTTAACCTCTTTGAGATCAGTGCTTCAGCCTTCAGGTAGATCACGGAATGTCAGCTATATGTGTGTGTGTGGGGGGGGGGGGAGCCTAAAGGGTTGGAGGTCACACACGTGAACCACTGAAAACCATAATCACGGCCCCATGAATGATATGAACCCATGATCATACTGGGTACTGGGAACGCCAAAGGGACACAACTCTAACCAGCATCCATGTGAGTGAGTTGAGTTTTAGGCCGCACTCAGCAATATTCCAGCTATATGGCGGCGGTCTGTGAATAATCGGATCTGGACCAGACAATCCTGGGATCAACAGTATGAACATCGATCTACGCAACCCAGTCAGCGAGCCTGACCACTCGGTCCCGTTAGTCGCCTCTTACGACAAGCATGGGTAACTTAAGGTTCATTCTAACCCGGATCTTCACGGGTGCCAGTATCCATGGCCCCGAGCGTAATTTTAATTATACAGAAATGTTGTATATCTGTTTCAGAGAAGGCGAATAATTACCAAGCTTCCACTACATGTGTGGGACGGGCTAAGCTCAGTGAACGCTGCAGTCAGCAATACTCCAGCTATATGACGGAGGCCGGTAAATAGTGGATGCAAGTGGTCGATAGCATGAACATCGACCCACGTTATCTGTGTCACGTGATGTAGGTTAGCACTCCAATCCTCATTATGCAGATGAGGCCAGAAAGGAATCCTTGGACATATTTCTCTCCGTTCATAGGTACAGTATAGTCGGTGTTGCTCTAGGACGTACATGACGTCTGTGTATGTTGTCTGTGAGCCCCTGTCCATTCAGGCCGAGAGGGGCCACTGCTATATTTTATCAGCAGGCCACAGGTCGGCACCAATGGTCACTCAGCAATGTCCACGATTCTCCAACGGTCCAAGTTGTTTTGGTAACATAATATCGTCATGTGGACACTAAAGTGGGAAAATACACGCATTAACAAATGCTCAAAATAACAACAACTAATTCATTTGAAATATTGTATTATAAATTAACAGTATGTACAAATATTCGTTATATTACCCGATCAGATAAATAAAATCAGGTAAAATCGACAATGTCCGAGCTGGTGGTCCCAACTCGTCTTCACGCGATGGGCAATGGTTTGGCTGTTCAGATGTGTACAACGAAAGAGGTCAATGCTGACATGCTACATGCATATAAATATATAGGAACATCGAAGAACGTGGCATAACTAAAGATTTGCATAGCTACTTTGAATTCAGCAGTACTGATTTGTATGCAAAACAACAACCAACGGAACAAGTTGCTGTCATGACTACCAAATGAACGTGAACTTCAGTGGTAGAGTCGGTTGCTGAACTAGCACACAGTGTTCAACCGGTGACATGCCCGCGGTGGCATGGCGTTCAGTCCATCATTCGTCAGCTCAAAGTATGGTCAGTCGAACGTGTATCCGTAGTTAGGAATGGTGGAGTGTAAAAAACGCATGCATGCAAGTACAGATTCCGCTTGGAACCAATATATCCAGGAGGTTTCACATAGCTGACAGATGCTCATTTCAAACGGTTAACGCTAATAACACATGTGTTTAGGGGTCAGTCAGCATAGGAGAGAGGCAATGTTTCTTGAATGGTTACAGATCAAGAATATTTTCAGAAAAGGTCAGTAATCTGTAACATTAAACTTGATTTTAATGCACCACGAGAATCTTTTTGCTCACGAACTGTGGGGCACGAAATATAAAGCGGGTCACTCCATTGCGAATCTGACGGTCTTGCATGTGCAAAATATTGTATTTTAAGACATTTGAACACCAATTAATAATGATAATATAGCAAATATGAAATCTAGATAATGTAATAATTTTAGCAAGACTGACCAACATCAATACCCCGAACTGATGAGCTTAACCAACACTTGACACTACCAAGATCTCCCTTTGCGGTATTCATTCATTTTGAACATAATAATAATAAGGGTCGAGGGTCATAAGAAACAATAGATAAATACATCAAACCTAAACTTTGCATGTACATGAAGTAATACCTCTAACAGTTCTGCAACCAGAAGTTACCATGGCTTAGACATGATACAACGTTCTAACCAGACTAATGCTGCTTCTACAGGGGTTTGGCACCAGTGATGCTGAAGGTGTATCTTTGGCAAACTATATATTGGCTATATGTCTCCATAGAAAACCACTACGTGGAAACATAAACCTCATATTGTCAGTAGTGAAATCGGTTTTACTGGACAGTGTCACATATAGGTTCAATGTACGACTTTCACGGTTCTGTTATATGATTTTAAGACAGGTCGCTTCTAAAAGACGAAAGGGCGAAACATATTGGACCCAAGTCTGAATCGAAAACTAGGACAGGCGACTGACCAGTCGACTCACCGTTCTGTGAACATTCCTCCTCGTAATATCTAAAACTATCAGAATCATTGTCTAAGGTGAAAGATCAAGACTTTCAACTAATCTGCAACACATGGGAATTTGAATCAAATGTCTGCACAAATTAGTTAAAAATTACAATGAAGTGACCAATGAAGTGATAAATGTCACCACTGTCCACAATCAACAGTGTGTTATCATCAGCACCGGACAGGGAATGGTGTATCTACATAGAAGACCTTTCATTCAGTGAAAAAAATGGGAAAAAACCTTTCACTTTGTAATTGTTGTTTATATTTATGCATTAAACACCTAGCTACACTCCTGATTTGAAAATGCATCTTGTATCCACGAATATTCATAAAATTTCTTCCACACACTATCAGCCATAGGCATCACGCAAACAGTCACAAGTATTATCACAGAGATCTTTAATAAACAGTTACAAGAAGTCCAGCTGGCTTCAGGATAGAGCCAAGTGTCGTCAAACTTCGGACTCCTTCAGAGGATGTTTCCCATTTTGTTTCGTCTTGTCGTCTTGTTTCGTGTCAATAACAGGAAGGACTGAAAAGTGAGAAAGGTAGAAACAACGCGTTAGGAAAAGTTGAATTAGTTTGGAAGATTCTGAACAGTATGTCAGTTATATCCGGGCACACTAAGGCTTATCTGATGCAGGTCCTAGGACGTATTTGGAAGGTATCAACTAGAAAAACCAAGGTATGTTTAGACCGACCCTGTTGTCCGTTAGAACATACATACTACACACATTACTCCCCTGTACTGACTTGAAAATATGCTCATCTGTACGATTTCACAGTAAACGGTACAGCTTAAATAGGTTCTACTGAAAAGATGTCTAGTTTATAATACCAAATATACCATTCAAGCAACGTCACACGAGCTTTACAATCACATCTTTTTGTCAGTAGTGTCCGTAGAGATTTCGGAAAAGAAAAGTTGAAGCACCAGAAATGAACCTCACACCATGTTCCAGTGTGGATCCTGCAGCGTGATAAGGCAGTGTTTAAACCACTAGGCTACCCTATACTCAATATAAGGCGTGACCTCCATGACGTACCTGTTTGTTCCCCAGTGGGAACTCTGCGTGTGCCGTAAGGGGTCATGATGGTGGTGGTAGGTCTGGAAGTGCGGGGCTGACTGGCGGTGGAGCGCTTGGAGTAGACGGACACGGGTCTGGAGTGGGAGGGTGTGCCCTGTGTAGACACCATGGTCTTAGACCGGGTTAGACCCATGGCCGAGTTTCTGCCTCTCCCTGATCCGTCTTTACCTGGGAAACAGTACAGGTGAACAGTAAAATACCAGAATCTTTCTTGAGGAAAGCAGTATGTTCAATTGTTAGTATGTTTAAGAATGTTTGGCAGCATTCGTCAAGTAAAGCAAGAAGAGGACAAATTGTATATGTCTGTATTCTCATGGGGATAATACAATTCTGCGAAACATAGGTGATAAAATATATACATTATATTATGTCCTTAGTTGTTTTCATTAAAATATAATATAAGTTCAGAACATGCATTAATATGACACGGAAATAGCTTCATCTCGTTGGTTGCTCTTGACAAAAACATAACAGAACGACCAACACAAACACGGATTTACTGGCCTCGTTGTGCATGTCACAGATGAAAAATAGGTGAAATGGTTCTATTTATGGCTGCCCTTGAGGACTCAAAACCACGTAGGCTTCAATGTTCCTTTGTAGAAATATTACTGCTATATCTGACTTGTAACAGAGCAGGATCGTGTCACCATTATCAGAATCGAACCAAGTCCTTGCACAAATAGAGAGCTATATGACCAATGTGCTACCTCGCAAATGCTACAAACATCTGAAAGTCACGCTGGTCTCTACTTAATCCATGTAGCAAAATCGTCGCTGATACAATATAGTGACGATTTGGCACCTTTTACCTGTACCACAAATCGTAACATTACACTGTTAAAGAATGGAAGTTACACCTCAGTGCTAAGGTCACATTCCAATACGACCTTCATAACTATTCAACCCTTTCCGCTATGTCCGGGATCATGCTAGATGGTACTACTGGTTAAGATACGATTTGAATCGGCCTTCAGCAAGCCGAAGTTCATGATGTCAAGAGTACTTGTCGTCATATAAATGGACTGTTGCCGACTTCGGCGTTAAACAACAAACAAACATACCAGCAGCAGACTGGTGTGATCCATCATTAGGATGTACTTCTTGGCGGTAGTGAGAATTTACCTTTCTGGTCCGACAAGCACGTGTCCGGTCTGTAAGCCTTGACCAGGAGACGGTGGAACTCCTCTTCCTTGCGTTTCTGTTCATCTCTCTGTCGTTCCCTGCGACTCTTCTTCGTTTCGTTCTCAATACTGAAGACAAAGTTAGTTCAGTTTTATGGTTCCCGCTATGCAGCTTTACACATGGACATTTTACGGCGCTTCATGGAGTATCACATTGTTTGCGAGTCAATACTGATATAATCATTCGTAAAATCATATGTAAAACCGTATGCAGGTTCCCTGTTATTCTAATGCCTGACTGACTGACTGAGTTTGGTTTTACGCCGCTTTTAGCAATATTCCAGCAATATCACGGCGGGGGACACCAGAAATGGGCTTCACGCATTGTACCCATGTGGGGATTCGAACCCGGGTCTTCGGCGTGACGAGCCAACGCTTTAACCATTAGGCTACCCCACCGCCCTTGTTATTCTAATGACATTGTTGCTTTCTTCTAAATATCGGGTGGGTTGGTGTGTGTATCGCTGTCTGTTTTCACTATCATCCCGACCTGCCTATGCCCGTTGTCAGTCATGGCCCCTGTCACCCATGATCTATGTCCGTTTTGTGGCGTGGCCCTCTTGCCTCTAATCTACCTATGCCCGTTTTGTGGCATGGCCCCCTTGCCTCTAACCTGCCTATGTCCGTGTTGTGGCGTGGCCCTCTTGCCTCTAACCTACCTATGCCCGTTTTGTGGTGAGGCCCTCTTGCCTCTAACCTACCTATGCCCGTTTTGTGGAGTGGCCCTCTTGCCCCTGTTAGCGTCCTGGTCAATGGAAGACCTGAGTTCATTGTTCATCTGTTTGGCGGACTGGACACTGGCAGCGGCCTTGTTGTTGAGGTCAGTATACAGCTGCTCGGTCCGATTGGCCAGATGTTCAACATCCTTTTCTTTCTGCTGTCTGTCCTGTAGTGTAACAACAGTAGACGTAATTAACAACACAATGCATCCAGTGCTCATGTCACAACAATAGGGGAGATGTAATAACACAATACATCCTGTTCCCATGTCACAACAATAGGGGAGACGTAATAACACAATATATACTGTTCCCAGGTTACAATATGGGAGACGTAATAGCACCATAACACAATATATACTGCCCCCGGTTACAACAATAGGGTAGACGTAATAGCACCATAACACAATATATACTGTCCTAGGTTACAACAATAGGGGAGACGTAATAACACAATATATACTGTTCCAAGGTTACAATAGGGGAGACGTAATAGCACCATAACACAATATATACTGCCCCCGGTTACAACAATAGGGTAGACGTAATAGCACCATAACACAATATATACTGTCCTAGGTTACAACAATAGGGGAGACGTAATAACACAATATATACTGTCCCAGGTTACAACAATAGGGTAGACGCAATAAGACCATAACACAATATATACTGTCCTAGGTTACAACAATAGGGTAGACGTAATAACACAATATATACTGTCCCTGGTTACAACGATAGGGTACATTAATCGGCATTATGCGCCCAGGTGTATTTAAAAACATCTAAATTAAAAGACTGACCTCGTTGGATTTTTGGTTCATTTTCTTTGGTTTCCTCGTTAATGATGGCTGTCTTGCAAGGTTTGAATCTGACTTCACTTTAGCCTTCTGAGCCTGAAACAATGTCACCAATACAATACAAGTCTACTTAATTCAGCTTTTAGTTCATCAGTCACTCAAGGGAACCTAAATATCCTTCAAGCCGAGCATAGTTGTAGTCAACTATCATGTCATACTCGACATTAATGGGGTTACATGTATGTATCCAGACAAGTACCCATAATATCCATATCCATATATTACTGGCGTATTCTAACATGACTCTCTGTTTAAAAGTGATCAAAACTGTGTTCATCAATAAAGAACACAGCGTTGTGTGGCTACGATACATCAGACAAATCTGACCACCTGATCCCGTTATTTTGCACTCTGATCAGGATATTCACGAGTTCAAGAGAAAGTGAAACGTAGTGAATACCTTTCCCGAAGCTCTCGCCTGTGTGTGATCGTCAGTCCGAGACGAGAACTCCATGTCACCTGCAACATGTAACAATATGTAATAACCAAGTTAAATACTGGGAATCCAATGTGGCAAAGTACATAGCGAATACCAATGTCACACAAAATTACTTTAAAAGAGAGTTTGCAAAACATGGTGACGCATTGACATTACTATATCGTAAAATGTGGTATGCCAATTGGTGATGTCTCGGGAGGGGTTATCCAGTGACCTCATGTAAGAACTGTTATGTCCCGAGTGATGAAAGAAATGTGACGGTCTAGCGATCTCCACCTACAATTGCAAAAATTACTGTATTCTTTAGTCATGAACGAATGTCGTGCAAATTAACAATCTAGGCCAAATCTTCCCACTGCCATGAAATAACTTTCTCTTTTATTTCAGTTACACATTTCTTTACCCGACGAGGTAAAAACAGTAGCTTCTGTCTCGCGTCGCGTGTCTCCACATTGCAATCTACCATCAACAGTGCCAAAAATCAATACGACAGTGTGTTTTGTGAGGCTATTGTGCCGTATCATCTTGCAATGACGGGTCGTGTTTCCCTTCTGTATGTTACACCCAGCCACATGCGCCATATTGGTCAGTCTAACAGTCAGCCACTACAACTGTCCAGTTTGGATGGGTATGTGTTGCGGCCACTACCATTTGACCTGTCCTTACGGACCTATCATAATTTAAGGAGGGGGTTGGGGGTGTGATGATGATTTTAAGGGGGGTCACCCATTTTGTTCTGATGAGGTAGGGGTTCATCATTTCTTTGAGTCGCATTTAGAAGTTGGTGTGATGAACAACGAGGAGAGTTCTATGATACAACTTCTTTAATGTAATATGATAATTGTAATAACAGTTAGTAGCTACACCGAAACGTAGCTCATATTATATTAAAGAAGTTGAATATCCATAGGGTTCATCAACGATTTGTACATGACATGCAGGGGGTCACTTACTATTGTACATTAAGGTTTTTGGGGGGAGGGGGTGTGTCATTCACATTGTACATGCTTCTCCATAAAAATCATCATCACCCCCTCTAGCCATAAATTCTGGACGGTCCCTTATTGAACAACTGACTAAACCTAAGCCACCATCACCAAACCCCATCCTTGCGTCAGCCCGGAAGCGGAAGGTCTGCGGTAATTTACCGGCTGGTTGAAAGCTAAAGACTATCTTTTTGTAAAACAAGGTGTTGGATTCTGGATGTCCTGAACTGTTTTTGTGGTCCATCCCACCCCGCACCCCACCTGGACTTGTTTTGGAAAACAAGATCTATTCCTGAAAATACAATTGCACGTTTTCAAACAGTGACCGAAAACATGCCCTGTCACAAAAAAACGGTTCGTCCTTATCGACCCCATCCAGCTACATTGAATCCCTAAGACATCATACAAAACGTACATATATGAGGTCTTACCGTTGACATGTTCACTGGAATGTGACATTGAGTAGAAGGTTTGCCTCTTGGCAGGTCGGTCATTGTCATGGGTACCGAAAGCCTCTTCCCTGTTGTTCTGGTGGAAGCTGCTGCTGAAGAGGGCGATGTCGTAGAGGGGGCCGGTGTAAATCTGGGCCCTCCTTAACTGGTGATACTCCCTGACTGCGCGTCTCTCCTCCTCATACCGCCTCACACTCGCCTGTACCTCCTGGGCCAGTATTCTGCTGCTCTTGGACATCCTGGATCGAGTCCGTGGTTCGGACGTGTGGCTCTCCCTTTGTGAGCTGGCCCGGTAGAACTCCCCAGAATCTACACTGTTGTGAGAATTCGTATCGGCTGTACCATTGGCGGCGGTGACTTCAGGAACACCTTTCACATCTTTCACGTCTTTCTTTGTCTGTTTTGTAGGGCTCGACCCCATCGATTCCGCGTTAACTTTGCCGTTCTCCTTGGCTGGTTTCAAAATCCCCTTCCTATGAGGAGACGTTTTATTGTCATTATCCACTGAATCCACAGTTCTATTTGGACTCTTTTGTTTATCTGCAGGTGTATTCTCAGTTTTCTTTGAGTCCGTTGATTTCACATCCTTAGTTTCGGGTGTTTGCTTCCGCTGAGCCTGTAAACTCACAGTTGTTGAAACAGGATCAGGCTTGGAATCCTCATCTTTCACATTTTCACTCTCAATATGAACCTCTTCTGTCTCCTCTCGCGGCTCGACCTTCTCTGGTGACAGTACCTCTAACCTGTTCGAATCCCGTCTCTTCGGCGACTTGACTCTCCCCCTTTGAAGAAGTCGGCCTTAGTCTGCTTTTGAGCTTAAGGTTTCTCTGAATGATAATAGCAGCATCGTTGGTAATGAAGCTCCCCTTTCTGCCCCCTTTAGAGATAAGATAGTCCCCCCGTCTCCCTATGTCCCTTCAGAAGCGCAGCGTCTGTAGGTGTGTAGTACTTTCCCTGAAAATGACAACACGGTATGTGAGTACCACCCTACAATATAAGCCTTGCGTGTGGAAGAGAGGAGTCGACAAGGCCGTGTATTCTTCCCCGTTCTGTTAAAGTTATTACCTTGGTATTTCTACCACAAACAATGAATCCTGGTTATTGCACTGCAGCATGACATTATCCATCTGGAACCCGACTCCGACGATGGCATGCATTAATACAAGCTACAACACTGCCATACAGGTGTACAATGCGGCCATATAATACATACGCTGTAGAAGGCACGGGGAAGCCAATACAACTGCAATCAATCGTGTTGGCTAATCTATTGTGCTAACATACTTTTATGCAAGTATTATGTTCATTCCAATGCTAGGTTAGAATCAAATATCGTGATAGCACTGGTTTAGTCTATATCAGTCTATATTTTATGTATGCTGTGAAATGTACAATGCAGTTGTACACTGACTCCCGTTGATATAGATTCATCCTACGGCCTTACATAATTGAGATCGCACTGTAATGACATTTAACGCGCCCTTGGAGATTTCAATGTATATGTTAAATAATGTAAAGGTTCCATTGCCAGTACAACTTATGCATCATCCGACGTAACAATAACTATATTTCCGCATGGCATCCTTTACATATGAATACAGTGGGCCCAAGTAATGCATTTGGAAATGTATTCAGTAAGAACCTCAGTCGTGTTTGATTGATTTGATTGATTTCTGATTAAATACTGCATTTTACTGCATTACAAATGCATTCTGTCATTGTGAGGAAGTCATTGAATTATGTAGGAACAGTATTCTCAGCATTACCTTCATTGGAATGAAGGGGTCGACAAATGACCTACCACCCTCACTACGCAATGAGCAACCTACATAGATACAATCTCACACTTCACTCCGCGAATATTTCCGTTGGTCTATACTCGCCACAGCGGGTAGTTTGTAATCACATGTGGCCCACGCTTAACGTGAAATAACAAAGCACGCAATCACTAAGAGGCACATGTTTAAATCTTAAAACACACTCCATAAATCAAACTGAGATTTATGGAACCAAAATCGATGAATACTGGATGGCTTAAATACAACTCAACGTGGCTTATATGTGGAAACCTACTTCACCTAGAGAAGCGGTTTGTTCCACATCGCCACTTAAACCTTGCCGTTGTTGTAATAGGAACACAAGTTTAAGTGTTTGACATTTTTTGTAAGATACATTCAATCTCCTCTACTGGAACATACGGACAGTGAGTGCAATATGAAATAGGGACAATAGCTCCAACAACCATATTTTCAAATGGGTCAAAAGTTTCTGTTTGGGTTTGAAATTGAAATATATGATATAAAACTAGACTTGTTTTCTTTATAACTTTTCATGGATGTGAATATGGTGACTATTATCATTTAATTTCAACACAGAAGGCTCAAAATACACTTTCTGAATAGGTTAATAAAGAGAGTCACTTTATGTCAGACACTGTCAAAATGACAATGCTATACTGTGTTGTTTACCAACCTAGGTCTTAATGTTGTAACCAGTGCCCTTCATGTGACCGAAACATGGTCTCGGGCGACAAGGTTGAGCTTAACTGACAGATTCAGATAAAAATAACATTTAACGAACTACAGTAAGTCATGAATGACGTTAACGAAAGTGATCAGTTGAGTGTTGACAATGGGTCATGTCTAAGCCCTCTTCACAAAATGACCAACTGGGTCGATAGTGACCCATAGAAGACTAGCATAAACTGCTGAAGGAAATAGAAAAATCGAATCGATAACACAGTACTACAAAACCCAATCAGCTAAATACGTATATCAATATTATCTCAATATTCATTACTAAGGTTGATCAGAAAGTAAACGCCAGTCACAGACGCACCAGAAATAAATGATCCCACAAACTAAAATAAACTTGACAAAAAATGTAACAATTACTTACACGTCGTAACTGCAAATGAATGGCGCAAAGTATGGTGTTTTAAATAGGCCAGGCATGACCTTAAACGAATCAGTCAACCTCCTTTCAATGCCGTGTTTGGCCCCTGCCTTGTGGCATCTAGTGTGTGTCCGAGGTTGGTCGTGGGGTGTTGGGCTTATCTTGCTGGCTGTATCACCGACTGTATCCAAACATCGACCTACCTTTAATCCCACTTCGTTCGGGCTTATTGTTCTTACAACCATTGTCTACAATCATGCGTTGAATTATTGATTGGCCTTTGGGCGACGAAGATAAGAACTGACAGATTGATGAATTCTGTATGTTTGGTCAAGGAAAATTAGTCTTGATAAAAAAGTTACGAAAGGTTCATAGTACATGTATGTAAGCGCAAGACATATTCACAGTGTTCGTGTCGGAACTACGGTCATTCATATGATGTATAGCACTATTTAGCCTTTCACGTCCTATGGGATCTGTTCGACAGACGATGGTGACAACTTTGATAAAGTTATCGGCGGTGACTGATTATACTCAGTGTTCATGTTTTGAAGTTATTACCCCGCAATAATCATAAATATTTCAATGAGCACTCTCCATAGGCTGTGACCCAAGGGTATCGACACGAGCAAGGTATGGGGTACAATTTCATGTGAATTCCTTTCCCGCCAGGAAGTAGAGCTCAACTGATATCACCGGCTATTGACTTAAAAGAAACATAAAAGGAAAAAAGTCAAGTGTAGTACGGTGTGCATGTCGATGTAGAAAAGCGGCGAGTTCACAAATACACCGTTTCTTTGTTGTGGTTAATGTAAACATTTCGTAATTTTGGAGAGACGGTATCTAGCTACCTGTCGGTTTAGGCAAATTTCACATATATATTGCTCTGTCTTGTTATTCCAGGTGTTGTCTGAATGAACATATACTTCTTGTCGGTTTGGTCCTACGAATACTATTCAATATTGCCTTGGAAGTGGTGTAATATCAATTCTAAATTTCACAAACAAAACAAATATAACATTGCAATCCTAAACGCTAGAATTGCCTGTAGTACCTTACTACATTAATAAACTATTAGGTTCTGATGAGGGTAGCAAGTTGTTTCATAATACTCTTCTCCAATCAATATTTAAGAAATCAGCCTCGAATTTAAAATGGGAAACCCTACTTGAATCTATATAACATTGATGAATCAGATTGGAGAACTTACAACATTATACCATTTAGATGTACACAGAGTACGGAATTAAGATGGTTCCAAATGAAAATTATTAATATTTTATGCACAGATTATTACTTACGTAAAATATACGTCAGTGACTCATCACTGTGCAGCTATTGTAATATTTCTAATAAAACCATTTTGCACCTATTTTGGGATTGTAATTTGATAAATAGATTGTGGAGAAAAGTTGAAGAGTGGCTCATGTCTGTTGCTGGAATAAGGATTAAACTTACTCCACAAATTATACCATTTAGATTAAAGGAAAAGCGAAATGATCCTTTGAATATAAATTTGCTTCTTATAAAACAGACAATTTCTCACAACCGAAGGTATGCAATAGTACCGGATCAAAAAATATTGCTAGAATTTGTTACCAATACTATTATGTTTCAAGATGTATTGCTTTTACAACCTTCTCATATGATAAATTTACAAAATTTTCGTCATCGTTACATGCTTTATTTGCCTAATATATATATCATCTGCTTTGTATATAGTCCACATTAAAATTACTGAAAGTAAGCAAAGACTGTAGATCAATATACATGTATGTCCATAGCTGTTTAGACTCTGTTGTTTCTTAATGCAATACATATTCTTTATCATGAATTCTGTACATGATGGTGTTAAAAGTATGAAATTGTCACCCTTTCGTTGATTATATTTGACATGTGATCTGTACTCCGTAAAAATGTGAAAAAAATATATCTAAATTTCACAAATGAAAGTATTTCTTGAATTTGAAATATAGTCCTTCGAAATTTTAGTTGAGTTGAGTAGTATATCGTAATGGTTTAGTCGAACTCGACTAAAGCACAGTGTTGACATTGAGTGCAGCATTTCCTTGTAGATATCACTACGATGACGTGACGAGTTGAGAAGGCGGTTGACTATGACGTACCTTGCTCATCATGACGGAGTTGACGTTGGCTTCAGCATCTAAGAGTAATTTACAGATGTTAAGGTTATTGGTTAGCGCTGATATATGTAGACAGGTGCGACCGTCGTCGTTGGCTAGGTCCACAACATCTTCATCTTCACGTTGTGTCAGGAAGAACCGCACAATATCTGTAACACATAACGTTACATGGTTGTCATAATCATGAAAATTGATTCGTTCTTTGGTTACCTCGGAGTAGGATAATTATCAAACAAAATCTTGGGTCTTGTCACCGAGAATGAAATTGGTTTTAATAAGCAGCGCTTTAAATGAGCACTGACGATTTCTTTTAAGTGTAAAAGTACGTCTCGTCTTTGGTAGAAATGTAGATGTTTGTGGAATCTAAGTCAATAATTGTACACGAAATGTACAAGAGCGCATTTCAACTGAAATGTATTGTACTTATATGCGGCTTGCATATGGTTAGTGCAAAGATTTCGCTGATATATTCTCAGTTTTCACCCACAAAGCATTTTCTCCTAATAATCAGAGGGTCAGAACAGAAATAAAACGTCAATTACGTTGCACCATTCCTACAAATACCCATGATCGACTTTTACAATTCGATATAGGTGCCGAGAGGTCACTTTTATACCCTCTAATCACATCACACTCGTTTACCGTTACTTCTTCATGCTTCGCTGACTATATCTAATTCACCGGAGACAGTCGACGACTGGCATTCACACCAGTAGAAATAGCGAGCTTTAGTCGATCTCGATATACAATATCACATGACACCGTCAGCCAACACTAAGGAACAAACCTATGAAGATTGTCACATATCCAATGGGAAATTGTTTACACCATGGAACAGTGACATCTACCCAGTTAACACTGGGTCTACAGGCTTGGGGTGGTATAGCGATCAGGTACAGTGTGTATTCGTTATATTGCCTGTGATCTTGGTGAAAACTAATCGAGATTGGGGACATTGAATTCACATACCACGAGGTCGTTCACCAACTAGAGGTATAATAAATAAAGTGGTACTGTTGGATTGAATCTGTACGAACTATTTTTACAGTAGCAGGAATGTTGTCTCTTTAATGTATCACTTATGTATGTTAATATATGCAGTGGAAAGGAAACTTCTGAAGCACCTGACTTACTTTGAGCAACTAAATATATATATAGTTTCTGCATTGACTTCAAACGAAAGGACGTTGACAGATAACACTGTTAATTTGTAAAAGATAAGGACGATGAAGGGGTTTATTTCACGGTGTCAGTGGGGACTATGAATCGCTTCCACTTACTTCGACGAATAGTTTAACATGCCGATTGCTTAAACAGGTTAATGGATCGATGGTGTAATATTCAAGGTTGCTTTTTCGAGAACTATTACTTGTCCACTAACTGCTTAAAGACACTAATAACTTCTTTCTTTGAACGGAGCATCATCGATACATGTAGGGCAATAACTCATTTTGCTTAGGACATTGACTTTACAATTATCTTTTTTGAATAAATCTAAATAATATTTTCCTGACCAACCCTCTGATTACCGGTCGATGACATCATAAACAAGTTGGATGTCGTAGTTCAGTAGGATTCATCCGTTACAACCACACAAACGATTCGCTGAATGAGTCACCTCGGTCTTTTGTCCCTTCAACGTTTCTCTCGGGTTCCCTGGAAATATTTGCTTCTCGCGTGTGCAACCAATACATGTTTACATGTCCCCGAGCATCTGAATGTGCACCGTCTATTGGTAATATTAATATTGATTTAAGCACCACTTGCCTACTTGTGACGTGAAAACTCAACTCGTTAATTGCATTTACAAGAAGAAACCCTCAGAGGACAAGTTGAAGATTAGCTGTATGATAACCCACCGACACAGGGTACACGTTGTGTATGGGTATTGATTTCCACGCTAACAATCGCTTTGTTGAGTCTTCCCAGAGACCAGCCAGGTTGTGCGTTGTCTCGATGTAAAAAACACTGTTTGATGAGATAGTTCCTCACATTACGGGTATGTACATTGTATGTAGGATGACTTTACACACTTAGGTGCTGTTTCGTGTTGATCGCGCTGTGATAGAAATGTTCAGATACCTGGGTTTGTGGAATCACCCGTAACGACACCACCCCGGCCACCCCCTTCCCTTTCAGTGACAGGGTTTATTGTTGTACGGGGGCTTACTGCTCTAGAGTATACATACAGTATCTACCGGCAGCCATGAGCAAATAAAATACAGGGACACAAATCGGGGATATATTGCAACCAAAAAAATGAAACGGTAGGGGAGACTCCAGTAGAGGGGGTTGAAGGGGGCATTCAGCAGAGCGGAAGGGGTGGGTGTTATATTAAAGGTGAAAAAGTGTTTCATAAAAGGTGAAAAGGTGTTTCATAAAAGATGAAAAGGTGTTTCATGAAAAGGGTCAGTACAGACAGTAATGTTTGAAAAGTTTAAGTACGACACTTAAAGCGACAAAGTTCAATCATGTTGTATAGTCAGTGGAATGAACTGTTGTTGATAACATATGATCACAGATATCGATTCAGGTTGTTGGAATGGGATTATAGAGATTCTCGATGTGTTTGGTCAAAGCGTGCTGTTTTCATTTAAACGTACACAGCCAATTATGTTAACCACTTTTAGACACAGAGATAGCGCAGTATCTTGCTATGTGTTGGGACACGGAACAACGACATGGAACAACAGCAGTGCGGGTACTACTCAAGGGATCAACATGTCAGAGAAGTGTATTGATCTCAGGGTCGAGATTGAATCTCATCACAACACCAACATAGATCCTTCGTTCCCGGACAGCGTCGCATTGCTTCCCCACCCCCTCGCAAACACACACGCCTACACGTCTTACAGCTCCCAACGCCCTCACAAACATACATGCCTACACGTCTCACACCTCCCACTCCCTCACAAACACATATGCCTACACGTCTCAGACTTCCCCACCCCCTCACAAACACACATGCCTGCACGTCTCACACCTCCCCACCCCCTCACAAACACACATGCCTACACGTCTCACACCTCCCCACCCCTCACAAACACACATGCCTACACGTCGTCACCTAACCACCCCTAAAACCGCATCCCCTCACCCTCCCACCCCAACACACACACGTGCCTACACGTCTCACACTTCCCTACCCCCTCACAAACACACATGCCTACACGTCTCACACCTCCCCACCCCCTCACAAACACACATGCCTACACGTCTCACACCTCCCCACCACCCACAAACACACATGCCTACACGTCTTACTGCTCCTTCTATGGACAGGGTTGTCGACATTCAGATGCATGTGTGTTGGCATGGCAGATATCGGAAGCCGTATGCGTTTCAGGATTTTAATACCCATGTAACCTCTGACTGCCTTTGCACGTGTTTGTGACATCTGACTTGCCCTTGTATGTGTTTGTGACCTCTGACTTGCCCTTGTATGTGTTTGTGACCTCTGACTATGCATGTGTTTGTGACCTCTGACTATGCATGTGTATGTGACCTCTGACTATGCATGTGTTTGTGACCTCTGACTATGCATGTGTTTGTGACGCGTGTGACCACACCCTTGGCTTCCTTTTTGGCATCATCACCTTTTGATAATGATACATAAAGATTTACCTTTGATAAATTCTGAATCGTACAATGGACTTTGCTTTCACCACAGATTTCATATTATTGTGGTTTTATACGAGCTGACGTCACGTATGTACATTAACCATGCATACCTAGATACCATCTTAATGATAACAAATATTGTCATATAATCTAAATTAAACCGTAGGGTATGTGTAGCTAACTTTAAGGCTCTTTCACGGCGCAGGGTGCGCCAGAAAACTATGATAGTGGGTTCGAATCCCAGATGTGTCCTGCTGTGTCAGCACTATACCACTGTTCGCGGCTTTCACCAAAACGGTCAAGGTTTAAACCCATCGGCTTCAAAGCAGTGTAAAGCTGGCTTACTCTCTCACTAGATCTGAAAACATTTCTAACAATGCCAAATTTCAATTATACATGGAGCAGCCACGTATCTACACTGTTCGGTTCAATATCAGGTATACACATTAATTAGATACTAGTAAGCAAACTGCAGATACAAACTGGCCAGATAAACCTACCAGCATGTCCCCCGTGAGTCGCCTCGTGTATGGGGTAGTTCCCTTGTTGGCTAGGCGACCACAGATCCGCTTTATTCTTTTGAAGGAGCCGGAGAGCTTCTTGGGACCCTTTAAGGGCGGCACAATGAGCGGGACTGGAATCGAGAAATCACAGAGTCAGTCAGAAAACATTACACACAACTTGTCTAACATCTCCAGGGCACGAGAAACTGGTCACAGTGCGTGGAGGCACTGTGTTGGAATACGGACAGTCCAGTAGATAACGTTCCCCACCACGGTATATATGCGTGTGTGTGTTCCCGACGTCATACCCAAGATATCTTGGTAACACAACTCGAGCTGGTTAGCTGATCGGGTCCACTGAATCGAGGGAGTGAGAACTGGCCTCAGAATGTGATAAATATCGCTTCGATTGTGCCCGAGTGGCGAATAAAAGGGGTCGCGTTGCAGCAGTGTTTCCAATGAAATCCTACCCTGGTTTCTGTGCAATAAATAACGGTAACTTGAAGAGATACAAGCTGTAAGGTTGGAGCGGTGTCACCCCAGAGATTTCTGACAAAGGGTTTCAATGGGTCTTTTCGTCTCGCTGTGGGTATACACGTCGTTCAGTGCCACTATGACGACCATGGAGGAAACAGAAACAGGGCTGGAATCTACATGGTTGTCTCTGTGTCCAGTCTGCAATCTCTGGGTTACGTTCAATAGAGACGTTACATAATATAACTGGGACTATCCGTTGTGGGTTCTGTATTGTCGTGTAGAATAATATTTAAAAGAGACATGTCGTAACCGCCTAGCAGCCTGTTTGTCATTGTGTGTTCAGTTTAAGTTATTCAAACAACACTTGTAACCTCTATAGCTTCATGAAGTTGTTCCGTTAACATACACCTGTAGTGTTAAAAGTCTCAGGGACAGCCACATGGATAATAGAGAGGGGGTGGGGGTGGGGGTGGCTCTTTTTCTTGTGCTTTCTGTATGTCTGATTTAACTGTTTTCAATATATGTTTGATGACTTGATAACACAAATAGATTTGTTCGTTTGTAGCCGTGGGCTGCTATTTATTAAATAGTTGGTTGGTTGTTGGTTAGTTGGTCTTCGTTTTACGCCGCATTCAGCAATATTCCAGCTATATGGCGGCGGTCTGTAAATAATCGAGTCTGGACCAGACAATCCTGTGATCAACAGCATGAGCATCGACCTGCGCAATTGGAAACCGATGACATGTGTCAACCAAGTCAGCGAACCTGACCAACCGTTCCCGTTAGTCGCCTCTTACGACACGCATGGGTTACTAAAGATCAATTCCATCTTGGATCTTCATCTTCACTGTGACGTGCCAGGTCTCATAAATACCTATATTCAGAGATAGTCTAGGTATGGTTGCTTCATTTACATATTACTTCTGACATGATATATCAAGTCTTTAGAGGGTAAACAACTTATTTCCCCGTGGCCATCTGGCTTGGTTTTTGGGGGCAGCCTGTGCCAGCAATATAAGAATAGACAAGTCAAGACAGGAAGCCACTACATTGTCTTTCTATCCGGAATGAGTTTAAGTTGAAAGTTGCCTTCAATCGCAACAACTATACATATACACAACAACAGCGACCACCCGTCTTGTCAGACATAACTATAATCCACATCAGCAACAACTGTCACCACCCGTCTTGTCAGACATAACTATAATCCACATCAGCAACAACTGTCCCCACCCGTCTTGTCAGACATAACTATAATCCACATCAGCAACAACTGTCCCCACCCGTCTTGTCAGACATAACTATAATCCACATCAGCAACAACTGTCAATCCGTCTTGTCAGACATAACTATAATCCATCAGCAACAACTGTCCCCACCCGTCTTGTCAGACATAACTATAATCCACATCAGCAACAACTGTCCCCACCCGTCTTGTCAGACATAACTATAATCCACATCAGCAACAACTGTCCCCACCCGTCTTGTCAGACGTAACTATAATCCACATTAGCAACAACTGTCCCCACCCGTCTTGTCAGACATAACTATAATCCACATCAGCAACAACTGTCCCCACCCGTCTTGTCAGACATAACTATAATCCACATCAGCAACAACTGTCCCCACCCGTCTTGTCAGACATAACTATAATCCACATCAGCAACAACTGTCCCCACCCGTCTTGTCAGACATAACTATAATCCACATCAGCAACAACTGTCCCCACCCGTCTTGTCAGACATAACTATAATCCACATCAGCAACAACTGTCCCACCCGTCTTGTCAGACATAACTATAATCCACATCAGCAACAACTGTCCCCACCCGTCTTGTCAGACATAACTATAATCCACATCAGCAACAACTGTCACCACCCGTCTTGTCAGTCATAACTATAATCCACATCAGAAACAACTGTCCCCACCCGTCTTGTCAGTCATAACTATAATCCACATCAGCAACAACTGTCCCACCCGTCTTGTCAGTCATAACTATAATCCACATCAGCAACATGTCCCGTCTTGTCATCAGCAACAACTGTCCCACACCCGTCTTGTCAGTCATAACTATAATCCACATCAGCAACAACTGTCCCCACCCGTCTTGTCAGACATAACTATCATCCACATCAGCAACAACTGTCCCCACCCGTCTTGTCAGACATAACTATCATCCACATCAGCAACAACTGTCCCCACCCGTCTTGTCAGTCATAACTATAATCCACATCAGCAACAACTGTCACCACCCGTCTTGTCAGACATAACTATAATCCACATCAGCAACAACTGTCCCCACCCGTCTTGTCAGACATAACTATAATCCACATCAGCAACAACTGTCACCACCGGTCTTGTCAGACATAACTATAATCCACATCAGCAACAACTGTCACCACCCGTCTTGTCAGACATAACTATAATCCACATCAGCAACAACTGTCCCCACCCGTCTTGTCAGACATAACTATAATCCACATCAGCAACAACTGTCCCCACCCGTCTTGTCAGTCATAACTATAATCCACATCAGCAACAACTGTCCCCACCCGTCTTGTCAGACATAACTATAATCCACATCAGCAACAACTGTCCCCACCCGTCTTGTCAGTCATAACTATAATCCACATCAGCAACAACTGTCCCCACCCGTCTTGTCAGACATAACTATAATCCACATCAGCAACAACTGTCCCCACCCGTCTTGTCAGTCATAACTATAATCCACATCAGCAACAACTGTCCCCACCCGTCTTGTCAGACATAACTATAATCCACATCAGCAACAACTGTCCCCACCCGTCTTGTCAGTCATAACTATAATCCACATCAGCAACAACTGTCCCCACCCGTCTTGTCAGTCATAACTATAATCCACATTAGCAACAACTGTCCCCACCCGTCTTGTCAGTCATAACTATAATCCACATCAGCAACAACTGTCCCCACCCGTCTTGTCAGTCATAACTATAATCCACATCAGCAACAACTGTCCCCACCCGTCTTGTCAGTCATAACTATAATCCACATCAGCAACAACTGTCCCCACCCGTCTTGTCAGTCATAACTATAATCCACATCAGCAACAACTGTCACCACCCGTCTTGTCAGTCATAACTATAATCCACATCAGCAACAACTGTCCCCACCCGTCTTGTCAGTCATAACTATAATCCACATCAGCAACAACTGTCCCCACCCGTCTTGTCAGTCATAACTATAATCCACATCAGCATCAGCAACAACTGTCACCACCTGTCGTCTTGTCAGTCATAACTATAATCCACATCAGCAACAACTGTCACCACCCGTCTTGTCAGACATAACCATCATCCACATCAGCAACAACTGTCCCCACCCGTCTTGTCAGTCATAACTATAATCCACATCAGCAACAACTGTCCCCACCCGTCTTGTCAGACATAACTATAATCGACATTAGCAACAACTGTCCCCACCCGTCTTGTCAGTCATAACTATAATCCACATCAGCAAGAACTGTCACCACCCGACTTGTCAGACATAACTATCATCCACATCAGCAACAACTGTCCCCACCCGTCTTATCAGTCATAACTATAATCCACATCAGCAACAACTGTCCCCACCCGTCTTGTCAGACATAACTATCATCCACATCAGCAACAACTGTCCCCACCCGTCTTGTCAGTCATAACTATAATCCACATCAGCAACAACTGTCACCACCCGTCTTGTCAGACATAACTATCATCCACATCAGCAACAACTGTCCCCATCCGTCTTGTCAGACATAACTATCATCCACATCAGCAACAACTGTCCCCACCCGTCTCGTCAGACATAACTATCATCCACATCAGCAACAACTGTCTCCGTCTTGTCAGACATAACTATCATCCACATCAGCAACAACTGTCCCCACCCGTCTCGTCAGACATAACTGTTATCCACATTAGCAACAACTGTCCCCACCCGTCTCGTCAGACATAACTATAATCCACATAAGCAACAACTGTCCCCACCCGTCTTGTCAGACATCTATAATCCACTATAATCCCCACCCGTCTTGTCATCAACTATAATCCACATCAAACTGTCACCAACTGTCACCAGCAACCGTCTTGTCAGACATAACTATCATCCACATCAGCAACAACTGTCCCCACCTGTCGTCTCATAACTATAATCCACATCAGCAACAAACTGTCCCACCCAACTGTCTTGTCAGACATAACTATAATCGACATTAGCAGCAACTGTCCCCACCCGTCTTGTCAGTCATAACTATAATCCACATCAGCAACAACTGTCACCACCCGTCTTGTCAGACATAACTATCATCCACATCAGCAACAACTGTCCCCACCCGTCTTGTCAGTCATAACTATAATCCACATCAGCAACAACTGTCACCACCCGTCTTGTCAGACATAACTATCATCCACATCAGCAACAACTGTCCCCACCCGTCTTGTCAGTCATAACTATAATCCACATCAGCAACAACTGTCACCACCCGTCTTGTCAGACATAACTATCATCCACATCAGCAACAACTGTCCCCATCCGTCTTGTCAGACATAACTATCATCCACATCAGCAACAACTGTCCCCACCCGTCTTGTCAGACATAACTATAATCCACATCAGCAACAACTGTCCCCACCCGTCTTGTCAGACATAACTATAATCGACATTAGCAACAACTGTCCCCACCCGTCTTGTCAGACATAACTATAATCCACATCAGCAACAACTGTCCCCACCCGTCTTGTCAGACATAACTATCATCCACATCAGCAACAACTGTCCCCGGCCGTCTTGTCAGACATAACTATCATCCACATCAGCAACAACTGTCCCCACCCGTCTCGTCAGACATAACTGTTATCCACATTAGCAACAACTGTCCCCACCCGTCTCGTCAGACATAACTATAATCCACATAAGCAAAAACTGTCCCCACCCGTCTTGTCAGACATAACTATCATCCACATCAGCAACAACTGTCCCCACCCGTCTTGTCAGACATAACTATCATCCACATCAGCAACAACTGTCACCACCGGTCTCGTCAGACATAACTATCATCCACATTAGCAACAACTGTCCCCACCCGTCTTGTCAGACATAACTATCATCCACATCAGCAGCAACTGTCCCCACCCGTCTCGTCAGACATAACTATAATCCACATCAGCAACAACTGTCACCACCCGTCTTGTCAGACATAACTATAATCGACATTAGCAACAACTGTCCCCACCCGTCTTGTCAGACATAACTATAATCCACATCAGCAACAACTGTCCCCATCCGTCTTGTCAGACATAACTATAATCCACATTAGCAGCAACTGTCCCCACCCGTCTTGTTAGTCTCAAATATATTTCCTATCAGAAGCAAATGTGACCACATGTCCTAATAAACACCGCCAATCGACAAAAAAACGCCATTGGAATCCAAATAACACAAGATGAGAAGTGACTGAGTCGCTCCTAAAATCCTAGTTTTAACTCTACACTGACCCTTACATAATATTCAATTTGAAAAACACTGAACTTCAACAGATGACCGAACGTTCTATTTCCGAACGTTCTATTTCGAATCTTATCAAACAGGCGTTAAGGAAACCATAAATCCCTTTTTAGATCCTTGAAGAACAAGGCTGAATGAGTTGTGACTTCAAACTCATTATACACCGGAATTGAAATCCCATCAACTCTATTCATTCTCTGAAATCTGATACTGAAAACATCAACCCAGAATAAAAACAGTCAGAGTGAATTAGTTTAACGAGGGAACAGGAAGATCAATTTCAACACACTTTAAAAGCAGAAACCAAAACAAAGTTTAGACTAGCCTCGTGCATAGTGCCAGCGAAGGGCATTGTAAACACGGTATGCACGTGCTACTTCCGATCTGCACGGGTGCACCGTGCTACTTACGATCTGCCTTTATTGTCCACGTGTGCTGTGCCGGCGTGATGCTGCACCAACATCTTCATGCAATCGATGTTGCCGAGGGTGATGGCGTAGAACAGCGGTGTGCAGTTGTTTCTGTCCTCGGGATCAACTTTGGCTTTGCACTTTGACAGCAGCGTCTCCACACAAGCCGTATGCCCGCGACTGGCAGCACAGTGTAGAGCTGTGGGGAATAACAGGAAATAACACCTCAATACGCAATCGCATTCTGTATTATCTGGATTGATGGGTTTCTAATTCTGAACAGATTTATTTTTTCCCCTCATTTGAAGAACTTCATCACACAAGCTTACGGTATTTTATATTAGGTCTTTGGAACAAAACGAATTTCATGTATCCAGACAAGCTGCTATCTGTTCGATTGCCTGAGGAATACAATAGCAAAAACACCGAGGTGTGATTAAATCACATTTGCTGAACCTCGTATAACTTTCATGAAGTCCGCCATATCATTGAAAACTTTCGGAAAGTCGGGGTTTTTTTCCGGATGGAGGAAATTACATTTGCGATAAAATATATACTTAGAGACAACGTGTATGAATTCCAGTCTTGCAATACATATACTGATAGATTCAGATAATTCCATTTAAACTGTCAGATGGGAACCTGGAGGGAATCTGGACTTGCTTCCAGGAAGGACTGGGCCGAAGTGAACATCATGCGGTTCGGGGCCTGTGAGACACACCAGGCATACGACCTAACTGGATGATAACATGCGAGTGATCTCTATTATCTTCTTGTTCTCATTAGATACCCCGCCTACTCATAGGCTGTGTAGCAAAGATTCCGCTTAGAGTAAGCTAATGTTTACATTTCACATCGGCAATATTTGATTCCGCTATGAATCTGCTTTAGATTGAGGTCACAGTGTTCCCAATGATCTTGTGGTGAGTGAGTGATTGGGTGAGTAGAGTTTTACGCCGCTTTTAGCTTCACTCCATGACACGCATGGAAACTGTGTCAAGATTGAGCAGTTATTTAACACGAGAAGCAACTGTGAATGAAAGGTTACAAAGTGTGTGTGTGTGTTTTGTGCGTGTGCGTGTGCGTGTGCGTGTGTTTCCGTGCGTGCGTGTGTGTGTGCGACCCGACTACTAGGACGTGCAGGAATTAGTGGGATTGGAGAACTTTTAATTCTCAATGCAACTGTTTTCCTTCAGAAACTAAAACTAGCTAAGATGTTTGGCTTTTTCAAGCAACAAGGTATCTAGCCTTGTCTCAAGAAGAAACGATATTTTAAAGGCTGTGAGGAATACAGCCTATGTTGAATTTACAAAACATGACAAAGTCACCGTGCTGTGTGAGCCAGACAGAGACTAAACGACAGACACTGACTACTGGCTGGGTCTGAGACGGTTGCAGACAGAAGTACAACCTGTGGATTTATACATGAATATGTGCATTTATCTCGTTCATTATCCAAATGTCATATTCTGCCTTTCTTAGGTCGCAAGTTTTAAGATTAATGATTAACATTAGGCTCACAATCCGGGAATGCCACTCGATAATGTTCTTTTTGTGCCACTTTCTCATGAAAGTCAACGATTTACATTAACACACTGCCAAGAGTTATAGAATATGTCTCTTTAATATATCTCCTAACACAACACGATTCCCCGGTCAATACAAGGCGCGTTTTACCTGAACTATTACATGAACGTATTCTACGGATACTTGACAACTGAATTCTTCCGACGGTTCTCCCTGTGTGTCAAACAGGCCTACTATCTCATCTTTCCAGTCTTCTTGTGGAACGAATAAGTCAAAGTGCTTCGTGTTTCTCTTCCCGTTGGACGGACCCGTGAAGGTCCGGGTTAGAATGAACCTTCAGTAACCCATGTTTGTCGTAAGGGGCGAATAACGGGATCGGGTGGTCAGGCACGCTGACTTGGTTGACACATGTCATCGGTTCCCAATTGCGCAGGTCGATGCTCATGCTGTTGATCACTGGATTGACTGGTCCAGACTCGATTATTTACAGACAGCCGCCATATAGCTGGAATATTGCTGAGTGCCGCGTAAAACTAAACTCACTCACTTCCCATGTGACAAATAGGTCAAAGTGCTTCATGATTCTCTTCCCGGTAATGCTAAATCGGTATGCTTGGTGCTTGCATTCCCGTGGATACGTCAAATACGGTGGCCTAGTGTGTGTCTTGTCACTCCACAAACACCCCCTGGTGTTGGGGCGGTGGGACATTCTAGTGGTTAAAGCGTTGGCTCGTCAAGACCTGGGTTCGATTCTATACATGGTTACAATATGTCTTTTTGTGGCGTCGAATACCGTGATATTGCCGATAATACTGGGAAAGCGGCGTAAAACCTTTCTCACTCACTCCGAGTGACAATATGACCTCAGTGTCGTTCTACTAGCCGTGAATAGCTGCAGTACATATAGAGTAGTGCATAAAGCAATGTTCACTCACTCATCTGACTGAATCTTTTGAACGATGCACATGGCAACTTTTACAAACGTTCCGTGATTCTTCCTAAGATATTTGAGGCATTGATGTATGGTCTAAACGTACATGGAAAGCCTTTCAATAAACCTGCGACAATGGAGCTGATCAAGCAGGACCTGAAGACGTCACTCAGCGGGCTATTTCCATTATTGTTATAAACATCAATAAAGCCAAGTCATAACATAAGAAAAAAAAACACGACGCCATTACCCCTGTCGCTCTGTGAAGACGGTTTCTGGAGTCATAATAGTTGATGTCTTCATCTCTAATTATTGCTGTAATCAAACGTACATAATTGATATCCGTGGCGTCCTTGTGTGGCGAGCGCTATTACTGATCAATCACCGACACGGCATCTCCGTGGGGCTGTAGCATGGATTAACCCTGAGAGTGCTGCCATGTCTTCCGGTGAACGGCTTTCTTCTCGATCATGACATATCGTTTGCTCCGACATCAGTGATCAATCAAGGGCCTGTTAGAAGACTGGGGGTGCCCTCGCTGACCTCCTTAAATATGATGGGGTCTTCCTTTAACCAGCTGTATAGAGGGCGAGATGGTTTGCTCCGGACTATACGGTGAATGAGTGAGTGAGTTTAGTTTTACTCCGCTTTCTACTATATTTCACTGCCTGTCGGCTCAGTTAGGGAAGACAACCCGAAATGGTGCAGTTCTTCCATGTTTGCCGTTCGGTGAAACCCATGAGTATAGAAACGTGTTGACAAAGCTAGAAATATAGTCCGATCGGATCGGGATTCGAAATTACGCTCACATGTATCTGACGCGAGAAATGTGGTGCTTCAGAAGCCAAGGCCACTCACTCACAGGGACTAACATCGGACATCTAATGGCGTGTGCATTTATTCCTATCAAAACAAAATATTTGGTAAAACAAATTGTCCCTGTATTCTTTGAGACAACGTATACCTTTATTTGGAGGAATGAAAGAAATTGTTATGTTCAATGTTTGATAGCTGCTGTTGTTGTATAGTGAGTGAGTGAGTTTAGTTTTACGCCGCTTTTAGCAATATTCCAGCAATGTCACGGCGGGGGACACCAGGAATCTGCTTCACACATTGTTGTATAATAGCTGTGTAACTTTGGTTACCTACAAATCGTAAAGTTTACATGAATGCTAAAACCAGCGTGTAGAAGTAAGTCAATTGTTTTCCATGAGAGTCATGACTCCAGCTATGTCGGTCTGTAAGTAATAAAGTGGTCAGACCAGAGGGTGATATCATGAGCAACGATCCACATAGAGTCAATGACATACTAACACCCGGGTCGAGTTTTCTTCCAATACATTTTTAGTGAGCTTTTGAAATAATCTGGAAACCTATTCTGACCCGGAGTACAATTTCATGGACAGTGCTCTGTGAAACACCACAGTTTAATGCTGAGTAGAAGGAACCTGTATGCGGCAAGATATTTCAAAGAAGTTGTGGAGAAATGTGTCATACCCATCAACATTGTCAGAAAGCTTCTTTCAAACAATCTCATAAGTTGGTAGAGGGATCAATATATCCCACTTAAATACAAATTTCACTAATCTCACTAACTGAGCATTTTGTTGATACAGACTATGGCTCATCTGGACATAGTGTTATAAAAACACTAACCCAAGTCAGCCAAATCCCACTCGGGCTATGTGAGAGACCTGTTTTGGCAGGAACTGGCTTAGTGAGAGGGCACCGGGACCCCAAGTTTAACAATGATAATAATAATAATACTAATAAAGTTCAAATTTGTAATGCGCCTGAATCCAAGAATTGCTCAGGTGAGGTGAGGTGAAATTGGGTTTAACGTCGTGCTCGAGAATATTTCGCTCATATGACGACGTGCATGCGTGTGTATGTGTATGTGCAGCTGCTTGTACTAGCCCAGACTGAAGCTGGTTTTACAGTGCTACCCACTGAGATACCATGCCGCAGTGAAGCATGAATACCCCACTCAGACACATTATACTGACTCCGAGCCGACCAGTCCTTGTTGTACCCATTAATGCCGAGCGCCAGGCAGGGACCAACAAGTACCATATTTTAACGTCTTTTGGTATGACGCGGTCGGGGATCGAACCCGCGACCTTCCGCTCTCCGGGCGGACGCTCTAACCGCTACACCACGGAGGCGGTCAATAATTGCTCAGAGGCGCAGGCCATAGGCTCGTTGGAATAAAAGGGTCTTAATCTCTCGCTTAAATGTCTCAAAGTCTGTGATTGTCTGAAAGTTCTGCGGAAGCTTATTCTACAGAGTAGGACCCGCCTTGATGAAACTTCTGTCACCAGATTGAACTGTCCGTGTCCTCGGAACTGTCAGTTGAAGTGTTGCTGAAGACCTCAACGATCTGGCTGGTTCATACTTCTGGGTAAGGTCCTCAAGATATGATGGAGCTTGATGATGTATGGCTTTGAACACAAACATGAGAAGCTTGTACTCAATGCGGTACTGAACTGGAATCCAGTGAAGGTGTTGCAAGATTGGTGTGATGTGCTCATGCTTGTTAGTTCCACAAATAAGTCTGGCTGTCAAATTCTGACTTCTTTGTAGCTTGGCTAAGCACCGTTGACTGGAACCATATAGCAAGGAATTGCAGTAGTCCATGCGTGAGGTAACGAATGCATGGATTAGAGTCTTTGTTGCCTCAGTGCCGATATACCGCCGAATTTGCCCGATGTTACGAAGATGAAAGTATGCGGTTTTGCATACAGCGTCAGTGTGTTCGTCCATAACTAACGTAGATTGGAAGATGACGCCAAGATTCCTAGCTGTTTCACTTCGTTGGACCAAACAGTTCCCGATTTGTAGACCTGGGGTGTGTAACCGAGGAATCATATTTCTGTAGCTGATGATGAGAAGTTCTGTCTTACCATCATTAAGTTTCAAGTAATTTTCAGCCATCCAGTGTCGAATATCCTCAATACATGTTGAGATTGATTGAAAAGCATCTGCGGTTGAAGAGGGGACATGAGGTCTAAATCCAAGATAAATCTGAGTATCATCTGCGTACAGATGAAATGATAGACTGTGCCTCCTAGCGATATCTCCAACTGGCAGAGTGTATTTGGTGAACAACAGAGGTCCAAGGACTGAACCTTGAGGAACTCCGTACTCCAGATGATGACGGCTTGATTTGGAGCCATGTATAATCACAGCCTGGTGTCGGTCCATGAGGTAGGACTTAAACCAAGCTAGAGCTCTACCTTGGATGACAACCACAGCAGGGAGAGGAGGATACCATGGCCGATGGTACCAAAGGCCGCAGATGGGTCTAGAAGAACCAGGACCACCACAAGATTGACTGGTCGTAAGGACATCATGGCAGTGGTCAGTGGTCTGTGTCCTACGGCCGTTTGACTGTAGTTTGAAGCAGATAAACCTTAGTCAATAGGAGCGATGGTCTAATGTCATAACACGTCACATGTAACAACATCAATATGTGATGATCTTTCAAATGATCACTTATACCCCCGTGGTCATTATGACCACCTGATCCTCAAACAAGCCAGGAAACACCTTCGTCGAGGATGTCACGATCTTACCTGTCAGTCCATCGTTGTCTATGACATTTGGGTCGGCACCAGCCTCGACTAGAATCTGACATGCAGGGGGATTACCTGCAACAGATGAAACACCACCTGACTATATAAACAATAACAGAGTTGCTACGTACTTTCACAGTGACACATTTGTTTGGATACCCTGTATCATAATGTTATTTTCTTCCTGGTTTCCTGGCCCATTAGAGCCGTACGGAGGTCATGATCATTAGCACAACGATAACTGGATCATTTCACGAATAATAAATCAAATATTAGTTGTGGCTGTGAACATGTATTGTTTAATTATAGAGAACGTCCTTAGTACGGACACGCCGCGTTCAGGGTGTGTTGGTCAGATGGCTCAAGTGACAAGGACTTCTTAAGACTGACTCCCGTGAAGATCAGGGCTATACTTGGTCTTAGTAACAAATGCTTTTCGTAACAGACAAACAAGATCGGGTGGTCGGCCTCGCTGACTTGATTGATGCCTGTCATCGAATATAGATTTCTTAGATTGATGCTGATTCTGCATATCACTGAATTGCCTGGTCTAGACTTGATTATGTACAGACAGCGACCTTATAATTGAAATATTACTGAGTGCAAGGTTAAATAATAATCCAAACTTCGACCATGATTCGTTAATGAGAAGATTTGTTCATCCGGACGACTTCACAGTTAACGGTACCGTTTGGAATAAGGAGAGTTTACTGTATACCAAACCAAAGTATAACGTGGCGGTAACATGTCGGTAATATGGCGTTGATTACATCAATGACTGATGTCGTGAACAAATATACTGAGTCAAAAAAGAAACTTCACAAAATGTAATTTGAAAAATAATGAATAATTTTTCTCTGATGATACATCTATGTATCCAAAATGGGATCCCTATCTTTCAACTCTAGAAAAACGTTAGCAAAACCCACTCAAACCCATCCATTCGTCGTGCAAATGACGTTAGTGCCAAATCAGGTTTTGCATGTGCAGTCGATCACGTGATCTTCGCATGGAAGTTTTCTTCATATGCACCTGTTTGCATTGGCCTCAAGAATTGAAAAAACACTTTTAAACCACAGTTCTAACGGTACTTGAAATGCCACGATTGTCAAATGTGCAACGTGAACGTGGCGTTGGCATGTTGCAAGCGGGAAGATCAGTTATTGACGTCGCAAGAGCAATGGGATGCAGCCGTCGTACTGTGTATGACCCGCGAGGTCGTCTACAATAAACTGGCACCACTTCTGATCGCCCAAGGTCGGGTCGTCCACGTGTGACGTCACGAGCAGAAGACCGTCAAATCGTCCTACGTCACCTACGTGACAGATTTCTGCCGGCTACACGAACCAGGGCTTAGATGTTTAGAGGTTGACTGTCCTCACAGACCATTCGAAATCGGTTGCGGGCTGCCAATCTCCATTCTCAACGTCCATATCGTGGGCCAATATTGACGCCGTTTCATCAACGTCAACGTCTGCTGTGGGCCCAACGTCACCTCCGATGGACCCAGAGAGACTGGAATCGAGTCGTCTTTAGCGATGAATCCAAGTTTACCCTCAGATTCGCGGACGGCAGGCATAGAGTCTGGAGACGACGTCGTGAACGGTATGCCCAATGTTGTGTACAGGAAGTCGACAGATTCGGGGGCGGAAGTTGCATGGTGTGGGGTGCTTTCTGTGGGAACTACTGTTCCCGACTTCTGGTCATCCGTGGAAACCTCACAGCTGCTGCTTACCGCGACCAGGTGCTCACCCCTGAACTCGTTCCTTTCATGGCGGCTCATGGCCCAGGTCTACAGTTCCAGCATGATAATGCTCGGCCGCATACCGCGATGTTGACACGAAATTTCCTTCAAAACGCTGGAATCAACGTCATGGACTGGCCATCGAGGTCCCCTGACCTTAATCCAATAAAGCACGTTTGGGATGCACTTGGGAGAAGGCTTTGTGGTCTTAAGAACCAACCTCAGAATTTGCAGGAACTTGGCGCTGCCTTGCAAGAGCAATGGCGCAGAATCCCCAACCACGTGTTCACAAGCATCAGGCAGTCGATGAGGCGACGGTGTTTGGCAGTGGTGAATGCGCAGGGCGGTTATACACGATATTGAACTGTGAAATTTCGAATTTTTATTCTTGTGACTTGACATTCTGTATACCCATGTTTTAGAACGGCGGTGTAGCCTAATGGAACTGATTATGGTACTGTCAGTGTATCGAGTACATCACACAGATCTCAGCAATGAAATAATAACAATTTCACCATCTTACCATCTCTTGTTCTTTTATAGTGCCCTGAAGAAAGAATGTGAAGGTTTTTTTTTGACTCAGTATATATAAAAGTACAAATTGCACGACGCAGTCAACAAAACCAGCAGCCTTGTACCCTGGACCAGATGCAACCTGATGAAGGCAGCTCACGGCCGGATGCTACTCCTAATGTTCCGAGGGACACACAAATACCCAGTGGGATTGATGGTTTTAATTAGACGTCAGTCATCCCCGTGTCAGATCTGCCCACGCTGGCGGACTCCACACGCTGTTACTGACGGAGTGTCTATTACGCAGGCAGGTCCCTTATGTAAACTGAGATGTTGCTCTCCCCTGCCCCATTAGTCTGTCGTGCTGAGACTCCCATTACACGGATGAGGTTGTAACTATTTGCATATAGTTGTCATACGTCGGTAGACTACGGTGAGTGAGTATGATTTTACGCCGCTTTTAGCAATATTATAGAAATATCACGGCGGGGGATACCAGAAATGGGCTTCACACATTGTGCCTATGTGGGGAATTGAACCCGGATCTTCAGCGTGACGAACGGACGCCCCACTTGTTCATCAAAGAACGACATACTTCAGAACGATTCAGCATCAGCCGCTACATCCGTCCAACACTATGGCGGCGTCCAACACCTCGTCGAAGAAAATAACTTCGCCAATGTCAGCGGTAGCCATGGACTGCTATTTATCAAATATTTGGTTGGTTGTTGGTTGGTTGGTTTTCGTTTAACGCCAAGCTCAGCAATATCCCAGCTATATGGCGGCGGCCTGTAAATAATCGAGCCTGGACCAGACAATCCAGTGATCAACATCATGAGCATCGATCTACACATTTCGGATACGATGACACGTGTCAACCAAGTCAGCAAGCCTGACCACCCGATCCCTTTAGTTACTGAAGACCAATTCTAACCCAAATCTACACGGGTCTATTAAATATTTTTGAAGCTGACACTTCAAATGCATTGTTTTTACTCATTTGGAATTTTCAGGATCAATATTTTACTCGAAAGGTCCTGTGCAGCGTAAATGAAGGCGGTTTGTTTTAGTCCCACTCGGATCTATCGGAGATACAGAACATATTAGGTTAACATTACCATGTGGCCTAGAAAATAGTATATCGCTGGACCTGACATGCAAGTCTTATACACCGCAGCAGGTATAACAGAGACTCACCAGATGACAAAACGTTCACATCAGTCGTCATCACATTTAACACATCAACCGTTCCGTACCTGCACTAGCTGCCCATAACAGTGGTTGGCGGCCATCTTTGTCGGTGACGTCGTATGGCACCTGGTGCTGAAGTAGCAGTCTGAGCACCTGGGTACTGTCCTCCCTGCCGTCTCTAGCTATCTGAGCAGCATAGTGGATGGGGCACGCTTTGTGCTTGTCGGGGGGTGGAGAGATCGGCGTCGTGTTCGATCAGGATCTCCAGACACTCTGTGTGACCCGTTACTGAAGAGTAACACATGACATGTAACTACCTGTCACATATATGGTGAAATATATAGATCAATTACTACTCATTCGTACAGAATCATATCACAATTATAATAAGTATACGTTTTGGATCATAATGCAGTTTGCCTTTATTTTACAGCATTCAAAGTCAAGGTTATAGCTTTATGTCGAGATTGAAGATACCGTTTACTAAAGTATTACTCGAGGGAATATATGCGAGAAATGGTGCTAGACACAGAATATCGAATATGACTAGACCTAGTTTTAATACTGAATTCGCGTAATTGTAACTCTATCAAGGTCACATGTTAGGCATTAAGTAGTATTTTCAGGTGCTCTCAGGTGACTGTCATTGTTTCATACTGACAAAGACTGAACTGAGTGGAATTCTATATTCGCGGTCTAACAAGAGTACGGATTACGGTTAACGACATGGTATGTCAACATGAACAACACACCATGTGGATATGGACATCACACAACGACACATTAGCAATGTCATTTTACATTAGCAGAAAGAAGTGTATGGCTTACTTAGTTTCAACGCGAAAATGGGAACTATTCGACAAGTATGTGGCTTGGGAAGGTGACACTATCACAATGTCTAGTTTCCTGAAATTTCGAGTAGGTTTTCAAATTCTTCCCGTGTTAAATAAACTGCAAACAGAAACTACGCGTCTTGGGCGATGTTTCCAAGACTAAATGTGATTTCCTTACCTATGGAACAATGTCTTTACAAGTATACTACGATGGCTTATATTCCCATAGGGGATACTCTTGGCCGGCTGTGTACAAGTAAGTGATTTGTGTTCAAAGCGGCGCACACGTTGCGCATTGACCACGTTGTGACCTCGTCATGGGGAAAGGAACCCAGAAGTGAACTAGGTCTTAGGGGTGTATACAATAAGTGAAAATCTGCAACTTGGGTTGTATGAGGGATTCGAACCGACAAATAATGATGATCGAATGGTACAATGTTTCCCCCGACATTCCCACAACGGTGCATCTATCGATGTGCGACAATCGGTAGCTGCCATTACAGATCCCCACGTCCTGTTACCGTTTACCATCTTCTGTACCTCACAGCTGGGGGATATAGACTGCCCTGTCGTCATAGAAAAAAAACTTTGAATAAGAATTCCACATCGGAATCAGAAAATACCTGATTTCGTTGAACCGTCTTTTTTCAAATCCGTAGAGAGGGTCCTAATTCTAATTTAGAAAATTAAACGTATTTAAATGAAACCGATTATACAATCAGGAACAGATTGCTTAATAAATATTAGATTCAAACAAATATTTAGAAATATTTAAAAGCCATTTTCCATAGCTACCCGTAGAGACGTGTAAGAACGGATGTGAGGATAGAGTAATGGCAGCTGACACTTCATGCAATGTGCCCGGTGCATGAAGACCGTGCAGACCGTGCACACGCCGTCAATGAGCTGTGAAACACTTCAATACTGTTAGTTCCCTGTACACACTGCTCTGGTCTAGGGTAACTGTGTGTTATCATTCAATCTGTTCATCAACACCCGGTGTTCAGGTTCTTACCGTTCCTACCACTGCACAGTGTTCCCCTATCTGTTGAAAGATATACCAGGAATCAAACACGTAGAATACCCATCCTCGGTGTGCTAGGGGGTTATATCCCAATTCTATTAGGATAAATATCTCGGGTCCACTGGGCACGAATGTTTCGTTCTGAGTCAGGCATCCAATCAAATTACACTTCCATGATGACTAAACCAAGCTGCATTATGACCTGTACCTGAGCCACGCTGATGTGTGCCATGTCACGTCCAGTGAGTATGTAGTCAGTGTCGCAGTAGCTATATTCCACCAATATTACAGTGGGGATACCTCATAGAGTCTTCAGTCACAAAGCCGGATATCAAAGGACGTCCTCCCCTCTGTCTTACTCGAGAAATACATTTTAAAAAGAAAAACTCATTGGTATTCGAGGGCTGGCTCGTGGGAGGAAACAATTCTGAGAATATATTTCTGCCGAATTCGTGTTCAGAGGCCAATTTCTACTGGTAACTCATTTGCGAGTTGGTGAGCTGATGACGTCAATTCTGAACCGAAGCTTTGGTGGCGAATGGTGACCTGTACTGACTGACTGACTGAGTTTGGTTTTACGCCGCTTTTAGCAATATTCCAGCAACATCACGGCGGGGGACACCAGAAATGGGCTTCACACATTGTGCCCATGTGGGGAATCGAACCCGGGTCTTCGGCGTGACGAGCCAACGCTTTAACCATTAGGCTACCCCACCGCCCCACATGTACTTATAGAAATAGAATGTAGATATAAGTCCTGAAGATGAGCAAGTCTCGTCTAAACCGCAATATTTGACTTAGGCAATTCCTGATTTATATGCAGGATTGATGATCAAATAGAAACATTAAAGGAAAGATTTAACTTCTTCATAGGTTACTATTGGAACTACCATCTTCGAAGAATACAAGCACCAAAAATAAAACCCAAGAACAAAAAACCACGGCAGAAGGTAATAACGATCTTTCTAAATGGTGTAAATAAATGCGACAGTACCTTTCCACAGCCATAAGAAAATTCGCTAAAAGCAGAATCAATTGTCAACTCCGACTCTATCATAAGCATGTGTTTATGAATCATCAACAAAATAGTGATGTTACCAGGTGTTCGCCAAAAAGTGAGCATATCATAAATACGTTATTAGATAATACAAATCATCACATTGTAGTTACAACTGCAATGTTTAACCTAGTTGATTAAAATAATATTAATGTAATATCATTCATTATTGAGTCTTGGAAAACAGCATATTTTTTTGATTAAGTATGCATAACATATTTTAATATCGCAGCGGAATAAATGATGCAGGGACAATCCGTCATCGTATGCTCTTAAATGTCTGTGTTGATATTGAAATTGTGAACACAAATCTTTTGGTCGAGGCAACTTCACAATACCCTGTCGTTCGTCATGTGTTTACTAGAATGGCGGACTCCTGGCACTGGGGATCAGCCGGGACACTGTTTATCACATTATTGAGATCGCAATAAAACTCATTCTAATCCTTCATCTGTGAATAGATCCGTCCTCTGTGCCAGGATTGCCATAAACTACTTTTATAATGTAGACAAGTATAACAATTAAAACCGTTCCACTCCGGTTTCAAAAAGACTGTGCCGAGTGAGTTGGAACGTCTCAATCTCGAGGGCTGTTACTGAGAAGACTCCATTTTGGAACTACATGTAGTTTCGTTCACGTGACTATCATATGATACAGCCTCGCTGCGGACACCTAGTTGAAACCTAGTCCGTTGTTTCTATTAAGCTTTATTACACTAGCCTGTTTACGGATGGACGTACGGGATAACTCAAAGCGACATTTCCCAGAAACCATGCGATTGCAATGTCACTTCTCTGTGCTGCACGAAGTAGCAGCGGAACGTGCCGATCGGGTCCGAATCTGTGCCATGTGGACATTCTCATGCAGCATGCCGTGACGTCACAATGCAAAGTGACCGACGAAGGAGCGGAACGTGCCGATCGGGTCAGAATGTGTGCCATGTGGACATTCTCATGCAGCATGCCGTAACGTCACAATGCAAGGTGCCCGAGCGTCTGTTTAGTTTGAGGAGTCTAGTCTACTCACCATTATCATCATACCCACCTGTAGCCCAGTGTACCACTGTGTGTCCTTCCTGATCACGACATGTCAGATTCGCGCCCTTTTTCAGGAGCAGACGTAGAAGGTTGCTATTTCCCGTAATGGCGGCCATATGCAGAGGAGTCAGACCTTCCTTATCGGGCGTGTTTAATAACGAGGTATCCGTTTTAAGAAGAAGCTCTGCACACTCTGTATCCGTATTCTCCACGCAGTGGTGTAAAGCTGTTCGTCCGTACTTGTCATGGTCGGATACCGTCGCCTGCAGCAAAGTAAATGCTTGTGAATATTAAACACGCTAAGTCTTGACGACTTTCTATTCGATTTGTTTAGCCTCAGTGAAATTAAACCAAGGGCCTCATTATTTGTAGCTGTGTCAAAGGCATGTCTGCAATGTGTTAAACGGTCATGAAAGCCATGTGTAACATCAGATTCTATCAAAAGGTTTTCGAGGCTCCATAGATGGGATCAGGTTTGTGATCATTCAGCTTCAAAGTCTTTGTGGTTGAGGTGTTGAAAATGTAAGGTTTACGAAGGATGGACAGACATACGGGCAGATGGACGCGCTCCGCCACAAACTTGAGTTGAAACGTGGGGGTTCTCTTCACAAAGGCACCTTACAACGTTCGTAAGTTGGTGTTGATGTGTGGGGGCTGCAACGGGTTTGTCGTTACGATCGCATTGTGGAACGACACCGAAATAAAAGTAGAATCAATAAGTATCGTTTTAGGCTGGTAAGAGGGAAATTGACAAATCTGTAAAAGGTCACAACTCTGCTTCCAAGGGATCCTGGTTGATGCGCTGTAAACCCCGTCATTGTTTACAGCTTCTGCACAGAAGTGAATCATTGCTCCTCTGGGTGAGTCGACCTGGCATCATTAACCTCCTGCCTGTCTCGTCCGTCCAATACTATATGTCAACTCGTTAACTTACACTCACATTTTGCAACAACATCTGTCTTTACGTAGGTTCTATCAACTTCCTTAACAGTTGCTGAAGGTACACATGGTAGCGATCATTAGTAGAGCCTGTCACACTACCCTCCAAGGTCTGCCGACTGTATATCCGATGTCTGGTAATGTCATTGGTTGTCAGTTTCACAGACAGGAAGATTGCAGCCCTCCGTGACTGATGAGAACACATCTAATTTGTCAGGCATGGAGTACTAGGGACACAGGTGGGAATTATGTACTAGACTATTGCATAGATATCACCGTCCGTATACAGTGGAACCTAAACTATCTGGACGGGACCATTAACAAGGCTACAAAATTGACGTATGGTGGGATCGGGGTTATGTTCTGCAAATATACCAGTTCCGAGACACATCGTCCAGAAGGAGGCGTGTCCGCAATGAGTGGGTTCTGGGTTAGTGGGGACTCACTGTATACGACCAGGAAGGGGCTGCACATTTTTATTAAAAATATGCAGTAGTTTAGAATCAAAAAATTTTACATTTTTGGTAAGAATTGACAAGGCCTTCGATGGTAATAATTGAAAATACACTCATATGCTCCATAGGACAATGGTAGAAGTGGACGCCATGGGTTGGAGCTGATACTATAGTATTTCCCAGTTACTTAAAACTCATGCACATTATAAAGGGCTAGGTTGTAGCACAGTGGTTAAAGTGCTCATACGGTAACCCGAACACCCTGGTTCAAATCCCCACATGGAAACCCACTTGAATCCTATTCCCATTAATGGGACGGTGATGTTGCTGTAATGTTGCCTACTCAGTCAATCGCCCATTCGTAGTATGTACACACGCTATATATTTATACTAAACACAAAAACAACAGTGAGAAGAACGCCGGCATTAGTAACTTATTCTGCTTTAAATATGTGTATACCAAAAAACAATAAAAGTATTTATACATTAAATAATGACTATAAGTCATTCTGCTGAAATATTTTGCATTTTCGCAAGATCTATGAGAATACCGGAAATTGTATGAGCATGTATTGTCTAAATGTCTGACATAAATAACGTGTTCGGTAGGACTGCAACATCTCTGTCATTCTAATGCGTATCAAGGTATGAAAAAGCCTTGACCTCATTAATGTTCTCTCTTAATGTGTAATGTGGAGAGGGCGTGTCGCTCAACTTTACAATGGATATTAGTATTAAGCTCCATCAATTCAAGGAATCGAAATAACACAAGTCATTTGGTTATCAGTAATCTACTATTTCCCCAGACCCGGATTACGATGACGTGATCGACCCGGACCGGGTATGTGACATTTCCTTGCCTGGTCTCGAGTATCGACAGAACTGGTGTAGGACATTAAAAGTACACTAATGAACCTCGAGACTCAATCCTAATCTCAAATATATTTTGTTCTCTATGATTATACATAATTCAGGATCTCTCCTGTTGACGTCCTATCCTGTGTTAAGCCATTATTGCGGACATTGATCTCAGCTGGGCCTTAACAACATGAGTATCTAACCTACAATAGTCTATGGATATTCACCGCGCGATCGAACTTTCTTCAGGATTGAACATCTTTAATTTACTCTGAAAGATCAAATGCCAATTCAATATTCGAACATCTAAACACCTCCCACCTAACAAGCAAACATTATTTCAATGCGATCAGAATTTCTCCATCCCTACGTTCAAAGGTCATCTTCATCCCAATTAAACGCAAGCGGATAACCGCGATTCTTCGTAAAATTCAAAACCATTGTCCATACAAACCAATACAATCGTCTGTATAAAAATAAAAACTATCTTACCTTCTGACAAACACCATTGTTCGTACAATTTATATAAACACCATCATCCTTATACATGTACGTACAATAGTACTGTGTGCTGGCGATTAGTTGCCTGGGTTCGGGTTTGAATCCTGGAGGGGATTCCTGTTTGAATCCTGGAGGGGATTCAACCCATCAAAAGTACTTGACGCTGTACGTTACTAAGAAGGTGTAATCCCAAATATAAGTGTTAAGTTTGACCACTTTCAAATGGCACTGTGTATTCGTACGCTGGTACGATTTCAAAAGGACAAACACAACTTCTCCACAACTAACGAACGCAATTTCTGAACGACAAAAGGCAACACTCTCCAACATCAAACACAGCCATTCCAACATTTAAACACTTGGCTTTTTATACATTTACTGTACTGGGGCGTATCCAGAGCGGGTGCGCGCACACACACACACACACACACACTTCTCTCTCGCACACACGCACACACGCGCGCACACACACACACCACCCCTTCTAGAATGATTCTGGATCCGCTCCTACTGTATTAACGATCATGAATCTATCGGCCGATAAAACAACAGAGCACGGACGCCACAGATTTGTACATCACAGCCACAAGTCGTGAATTTAACGAGACACGTCTGTGTATCGACGTCGTCCGTATCAACACCTACCCCTTGTTCGAGAAGGATGACTAATTGGTCGTAGTTGTCGTTCTGACACGCCAACATGACGGCCGTGTTGCCCTCCTCATCTGCCATCCTCCACAGTGTGCCTGGCGGAGACTTGCTCAGCCTCACCACCGCCTCCAGGTACTGCTTGTCACGTATTGCACTGGAGCGGTGGACTATGGTGGTTCCTCGGTGGTCAGTCTTCGTCAGGTCCGGGTTGTGGCTGAGATAAGAAATAGGACAAGAGTCGATTTGAGTTGGTGTAACATGTGCATGTAGATATAAAACATCCCCAACCTCACGAATATGTATAATTGTTAATATGTATACATATATGATTATATAATATAATTATATGTTTGTTATACTTTCTGGTCTTCCCGCCATGATATTGCTGGAATATTGCTAAAAGCTGCGTAAAGCCAAACTTACTCACTCTCTATTATACGTGCAACCCATGATTGTGTATATGGTTAGCGCCCTGTGTTTGTGTGCGTTTTGACACCGAACTAGCCAAACTTCGAGTTATTTGAAAAGGTTTGTAAACAATCGAGTCTGGTCCAGACAAACCAATGTTCTGAATACGATGGCAAACACAACATCAGCTCACCAGCCATAACCAGTTTTTACTCGTTTAATACAACAACGGGTTGATGGGAATGCTCTATTGATTGCCTAATCGTTTATAGGTTTATGACATTATATACGCAAAAGACACTTGCTTAGCTAATACCTTGGAATTACACACAGTGTATTCATAGTAGTGAATATACACCTCACATAACATCACAGCAAATATTTCTACAAGAAAAGAGTCCTGAAGATGACAAATGTATCGATGTATAGTATAAGACAAGACAAGACGATGCATCTGCAACGGCATCAGTCATTCTCAACTCTCGCCGAACTTCCTCAGCTAATCTCAGCTAGACTGGTTCGTGCTATTATAAACGCGCCATCACTTTACTAACAGCAAGTGACCGGTCATCATGATCCTGAATGCGTTATCCCAGTTAATGCCACAATGTATATGTGATCCGTGATAGGGTATCTATCTGTGAGGCTTGGCCTCACAACCGTCCTTGTCACCATAACAACTTCCCACATTCGTCTCGAAGCGGAAGGCCTTTAATGTGAACGGAAATTATAAATCAATCCTTGACTTTACTGCTAGAAATGTAAAGCTATTTAAACAGAGCCTTCATCCAGGGACCAAGGAACGAGGGACATTGGACAGGAATCCAACGAATAACAAGAATTACAATGATAATACTCCCGACATAGGAAGCTGGCTTTAACTTCCAAGACTTCTGACTCAAATAGTCATCTACCTTAACGAGCATGTAGAGATCCCACGAGATGCTATATAACGATGGCTGCTCTTCGTATCAGTGCAAGGTGAAGGTCAGCTGAAGGTTTCAGCATCTATGACTGTCAGTACAAGTCTGACCATACACACAGCAACGATTGAAAAGTCGTCTAAAGTGCAGCATGTTGCTATGCAGAGTTACGCCCCTTACGCAAAGAATCCTACGGTCATGTGTTCGAATTCCAGATTTGCCCTCATTCTGATTCCTGATTGGTCAAACCCAGACCCGTTGTCGTGGATGTCACCAAGTGGTACATGTCTAAAACTGCACCTGTGTAGCTGAGCTATTGTTCAATCTGGCGATAATTGTGAATCCTTCCCCCCTATACATATACACACCATGCTCATTGCAGTTCAGATACAATGTAATACACAGGAGTAGCATCTGTATTGCATGCTGTCCCACTATACATGACGCTGACACATAGATGCACCCACATATATCCACGACAGCAGAAGAAACAGCGTCATCTGTGCTGTTACAACGGTGTCTATATCCATTTGGAAATCCTCTTCTTCCAAAAATGTTTATTTTCCAAGTCGATTGTACAGTGAATTATAAGCAACATCCGGTATCCAAATTAAAGCACCTGAAATCCAGTTCAGCATCCTGTGATGTAGGACTTTGTTGCACGGCCGTGGGCCAGTGTGACTAGAGATGCTAACACTGATATCATGTACTGTATGGCGATGACTTGACTGGCTCACCGTGACACGCCCTGTGTTGGTCTCTCCAAGTGTGTCCCAACCAGACACCCATAACCGTCATAGAAAATCGTTAATCCATCCAGTCAGTATTACCAAGCGAGTTCGCGCACACAATGGACATGGTAATATATTATTTTAATGCTCATATAAACTGACATAAACTATTATAGTGGTGTTATTTGAATATTTTACGCCGTGCTCTACGGTCAACAATATCCCGATTATGGTTCCATAACAGATTACTACCCTCAATAGACATGTTGACCTCATTTCTCGATGCTTCTACTGAATAAACATTTTATATTTATAGTCATAATATCATTTTTTCCATAAGCTAACAATTGTGCACCATACATTAAGAGAGATTCAAGGGAACAATTCTGCAATGGAAAAACAGCCAAGAGGAAATCAACTTAACGATTCTACAATGGGCAACCGGCAAGCAGCACCATGCAACCAACCCCAATAGGATTTCATGTTAACAATCGCAATATATGGACATCTATCCCAATAGGATTTCAAGCTAACAATCGCGATGAAAGACACATACCCCAATAGGAACTCGAGTATCTTCAACTTTTTGGTGTACAGTGCATAATGAAGAGGTGTTCTGAGATTTCGCGCCTCTTGAATGTTGACGTCTGCTCCTGCCTCCACCAGGTGGCGCACTATGTCCTCCTGGTACTGCTGCAGAGCAAGGATGACAGGTGGCATACCAAACTCATCTCGCTCATCGGCCAGCTGAAACACGAACACAAGGTTGAGTCATGATATGGCACATATCAGCAGTGTCAACTCAAAATTGAGAAATCAGAAGATGAATAAGATATTCTGATGTGCAAGAACCAAATTCTGTTGTGTAAGAACACAAAACCGAGGGGGAAAGTGTGGGAATGTGTCATCTAAGTGATTACGTTTCCCCAAAACGAGAAACCAAACCCGAAAATCAGATGCTGGTGACTCTACATTCAACCCCTCGATCATAGGATCCAGGAACGCCTAAGGGACGCAACTCTAGCGGAGTGTTGTATACGTCTTTCGATCTTAAAACAGAGGACCGTTAGATGGTCTGTAAGACACTTTCTAATGAATGTGTGGACCGTTGGAAATACTTCTGTTTCAACCCATAATTCAAGCCCCAACCCCCCAGAAATGTTAAATGATAGTAGGTTCCCCTGTCCCGACCGGAAGTGCCTCTGTGGATATTTGCCCATTGCCATGGAGGGTGATTATCGACTGTTCTTGAAGTCCCTAAGGACATAGTCAATGATGGTTTAAATGGACCCAGTGAGAGGATAATTATTGGTTTACGTCGTATTCAATATTCCTATGTTTTTTCCACGCTGGGAATGCAATGGAAGGTTGGAATTTCGATTCCACATCTGTTGAAACGTTGCACATGTGGAAATACTTTCTGATTTTCGTAATTCAAATATATTTATACTTGTCAAAAGCTACCAGGCCCTTCATTTCCTCACCGACACAATCTTCTCGTTGTTCCTTCATTTGTGTGTCCCTTGTGGGTATTAAGGACAAATCAACCTTTAGTACTGTCGCTAAATGCAGCGGAAATCACATCGGGAGATCATGTGAACTGCACGGTGTGGATACTTCTTGGAGGTTTGGCTACAAGACCTCACCAACACTCAGCAATAACCGCATTATTTAATTGGTCTACCACTCCCGACGGCGTAGGTCACGGGTTAGTTTGATCCCCACGGTGCTAGACGCATAACTACCATATATGGAGCTGAATTCACAACCGACTGACGACAATGCTTACACACTGCTCTAACGCCGAATGCTGTCCTTTCTTGTTTACAAATATATAAGTCGATTTCTTGTTAACTGTCAGATAATTCGTGAGCTGATAATGTAAGGATCGGCGAAGATCCGTGTTAGAATTGTTTTCTGCAGCCCATGCAAACTGGGTCAGGACGGGTGGTTAGAGTCGGCGACCTGGTGGCTGCATCTAAACGTATCCCAATTGCGTAGATCGATGCTCATGATGTCAATCACTGGATTGTCTGGTCCAGACTTGATGATTAGTTACACGCCGCTGTCATAAAGCTAGATTATTGCTGAGTGCGGCAAACAAACAAACAAACAAACACAATGATAGAGATGTTTAATTACCAAACTGACATTCTCCTGGACAAAGAGTACGACGTGACGGACACCAGTGACCTCTATGACATTACCACAGACACACATAAAGATCTAGGTTTGATACTTGAAGGATAAGGAAGGAGTCACGGCCTGCTGTCTGTACAATGATACGGTTGATACTTGAAGGAAAACGAAGGCGTCACGGCCTGCTGTCTGTACAATGATACGGTTGATACTTGAAGGATAACGAAGGCGTCACGGCCTGCTGTCTGTACAATGATACGGTTGATACTTGAAGGATAAGGAAGGCGTCACGGCCTGCTGTCTGTACAATGATACGGTTGATACTTGAAGGATAAGGAAGGAGTCACGGCCTTCTGTCTGTACGATACGGTTGATACTTGAAGGATAAGGAAGGAGTCATGGCCTTCTGTCTGTACAATGATACGGTTGATACTTGAAGGATAAGGAAGGAGTCATGGCCTTCTGTCTGTTCAATGATACGGTTGATACTTGAAGGATAACGAAGGAGTCACGGCCTGCTGTCTGTACAATGATACGGTTGAATACGCTCGTCCACATCATCAAACCACGCCGTAGTTGTTGAGCCCGCAATTCCCAGTAATCTTCGTAGGAAGGTCTCTGTGGCGCAACACAACTCTAGCAGTAAGGTGTGTCAAGGCATAACGTGTGGTGTCTTATTGATCTGTTCAACACACAGCTGATTCAGACTCTAGTTTCATACAACAGTTCATCAGATCACTGTTACAACATAGCATCAGAAAATACCGCAATGAAAAACGGACAGCTAACGACTGCCATTCGGCAACTGAATCAATATTCTCAAAGGACGTCTGATTACGCGGAAGAAGAAAAAGATGGGTTTTATCAATTAATATTCCATCGTTTTCAAATCTTGAAGCCCCAGGAGTCGTTTGTTATGGTCTTCTGTCAAATGGATTCCTCATGCAATCGATTCTCGCCAAAAGAACAGCATAACCGAGCAATAAGGTCACCCCAGCCTTTGAATACTCTCAGGAATATGCATTAAACAAGATTCCGTAAAACTGGAAATTACAATTTGAGATCATTTGATTGTATTCCTGTTACAGCACCAAGCTCCGGAGACGTATGTAGTACAGCGGGGGCGTGTCAGTAACGTTCAGATTTCAACCAGCTACATCTTAAGTTCATAGAATCTTTCGGAAATTTCCTCCGATATTCAACGACACGTGAAGATCCGAGACAGATCCGGGTTCACCAGCCCATGCTTGTCGTAAGGGGCGACGAACCAGATTGGGTTGTCAGGCTCGCTAAACTGCCTGGTGGATGTCAATGTACCAGAACCGAGTAGGATGATGCTCGTGCTGCCGGTCAGCAAGTCTGGTCCAGATTCGATTATTTACAGATCGCCACCATGAATCTGACTATTAAACAGCAATCAACCAACTAAACATCCTTTGAAAAATTGTGCAAAGCCATAGCACTCATGAGACAGGGTAGCATCAATCAGTGAGAATTACTGGGTATCAGCATATACATGAATTAAAGCCGAAACTGGCGTGAACCCTGGCGTCTGACTTACATACAGGGAATTAAACAATCTCTCGTGACGTCACAAACAGTGTTATCGTGGTCCTGAGGTATTGAACATATAGTAATAGATAGTAATTGTTCTTTAGGATGGGATCTCCCTACAGATTCAGACAAGGGAAACTACCTTATATGGTCTCTGCTCCCTCTAACTTGTTGACTAACGCTGACTTAACGGCATCGTACGTTTCGACTCAGCGGCATGCACTGGTCCATGTCACACAGGACATATGTACTCACATGTCGGAGCACTCCTGTGCAGCTTTGGGCCGTAAATAAGTACGTTTAGTCAGACTGTGTGAATGGCGGGAACCACCATTACAGCAGGACATGCTTGCCATGTTCATCACTGGATTTCAATGGTTCATTCATATCATTTTCACAGCTATTTTGATCTTTACATCCAATTGAATCTGATTCTTAGGATAGTCGAAAATGGGTATTCGTTATATATTAAGCCACTGGCTTGTTGAACCGGGAACACGATACACCACATAATGAGTATACAGTAATGCAAACGTTAATTGTTTTTTCATGTCATACAAATCCACCAACGTTTTGCAAAGCGAACATTGTCGTACCTCAGATTTCCGCAATATTCTGCCATAACATGATGTAACAATATGTTACATTGGCATACCGTGGTCATCTGGCATACCGTGGTCATCTGGCATACCGTGGTCATCTGATAGGTGCGCTGTAGTATAGACCTGTATATGGCGTGCTATCATCAACTGATGTTGTTGCAGCAATAGATTCTCTTTCTCTATCTATTTCTGGGTAGACATCTTGTTTTGTGTTATATCTGAACGAAGGTACATGGAGCACAACAGTGGTTTAACCACTACTAAGAGGCACAAAGAACCCAGTTGCAACTTGTCCGTTTCTCTGGAGAGAAGAGAAGAGAAAACTACCTCCCTTATATTCCGTATGTTAACCATGATCAAAACTATATCACAATGAGCTTACTCGCCTAAAATGACATTTAGCTTCAAAAGTCGATTATGTCTACATCATGGCTATTGCAGATTAAACTACCGTAGCATCAGAAATCAGACCAGATCCATTACTCTACGAGGACAATGAATTACCATTTCCAATCTGTAGGCACGAACAGTGGCCGGTTTACGGCAGTTGAGCTCTAATGCATCAATTACGTGTTTCTTTGTTCCTATTTCCAATACAATAGGCATCGCTCATATACACATCAAGATTACTGGAGTTTCCACAAATAGCTACAATACACCGAGGCGTGGCCGTTGCAGTTGTCCATAACGCCGGACAATAGGTACTTCTGCAGCAGCGTTATCGAATTGTTGGCTGACTTACATGTCCAATTCTCGGTTTTACCTGGCACCAGTCTTTGACACAACAGTGTTTCTAGCGGTTGCCAAGATGCAGCAACAAGATTCATTATACGGTAGTCCAGTCGACCAAGATCGATACAACGAAATAACAAAACCTTGTACTTTACATCTGGCTTATGTCTCGTGGCTTCTGAAATTTTACTCTATACACAGTTCTTAAGGTACTATTACTCAGTCACTTGCCGAAAGCATCCGTGCAAAATGTTTTCGAAATTTGGCAGTCCGGTTATATGCTGACGAAAAGCGTAAATACCAACAATAAAAAAATTTCCATATTCATAACCAATTTCTGTTGAGGGCACCTCCCTCCCACCATTCCGGCTGACAGGTTCACATTGGTCTAAAGTCTCATTGAGATTTGTAATGTATCTGTAAGTAAGTGTTGCAGATCCGGAACTCCTGGAATGAAAATGTCACGTACAACGATTCCCCACTGGTGTTGGGACACTTATATCATCAATATCATCCTGACCTCCTTGTCACATTGACTGATTCCTCTCATTCACCGGTTACTTTGTATAGCAGATCAATGATGGTATATTTCAGTAATTGTATATTGACCCCTACATTCATTATGGAAACGGGTCTTTCTTCATTTAATGAGATGGTATATTCATGGTGAATATGTGTACCTAATCAATATCATTAGCAAACAGATTTCGATCTGAGCTC